AGTAGTAGTAGTAGTAGAAGTAGTAGTAGTAGTCGTTGTGTAGTGGTCGTAGTAGTAGTAGTAGTAGCAGTAGTAGTGGTAGCAATCTCAAGAGTAGTTTGAGGAAAAGCTAAGATCTCACACAGGGACAAGCAAACCAAGGTTCTTGAATGATGTTTCCAGGCCAGAGTTCCATGATTCAAGCAAGCCTCAGAAGAGTTAAGTAATTAAGGACGTAAAAGGGCAGCAATAGCAGAACAATGGAGAAGTAAACTTTATTCCCGAATGCGTAGCGAAGGGTTCTCGTTTATAGTTGGGGGCGTGGGGCTAGGTATAGGGTCGTGATCGAAAATTCTTTCCTCGCGGGAAAGCTCTTGAAAAGGTCTTTTGATGGAGGGTGATCGTCAGATTCGTCGCAAATACCGTGCCTGCGCAGGTGCAGCCTTTTATGAGATCCGCTGTTTCCTGCGGAGTCAGATTGGGATTGCCTTCACGCCATCCGCTACACCGCGCAGCAGCTCTTCACTGGAGGCGTACCGACTAAATGACGTACATTCTATCGGATTTTCTATTCTGTCCCATGTCTGATCTCCACCCGCTCCTTTCAATGATTATATATTATATCTCACATTCGGGTTCGTGGGTTCTTTCAGGCTTTTCCCTTAGAGCTCAAAGTTTTCTTATAAATCGATCGATTCACAACATCATCATCTCCGGCTTCACTGGATGGTCACAAACGACTGGCACCCTGCCTTCAGCAGCCAGGAGCTTTCTTGTGCCTTTCGTTTCAAGATGGGTTGGAGTTCCACACCATTCTGCTCCAAGAGCTTCTTGATCCCCCAGTTCTGCACCAACATGGCCATGTCCAGTGGCGTCATCCCCACGTGGTCCACTGCATTGGCAAGTGCACGCTGTCCCAGCAGGATCTTTACGACCTCTTCAGCACCTGTGCTCGGCCGAACGAACGCTTTATGTCTCGTTGCAACGAGTCGAGAGGTGCATGTTTGGGAAGATGATGGAAGATGGAAGAAGTTCAAACCCCACCCCCACTCCCAGGAAGATGGAAGAAGTTCTGCGTCTTTCATCCCCACTCCGCACCTCTTGCGGTGCCTCCAGAGGCCAAGTGCAAGGCCGTTCGGCCTCCATGGTCCTTGCTGTCGACGTTCGCCTTCTGAAGCAGAAGCCGCTGCGCATGCGCGGCATCTCCCGCAGCCGAGGCTGAAAGCAAGAGCTTCTCAGAGAAGTCCTGGGAGTAGAAGATTGATCGAACGGGCCAAGCAGCTGGGCGCAGTTGGTCCAAAAAAACTCGTTTGAGGTCCAAACTTGTCAACATGCTCAAAGGTTTGACACAACATGGATGATGGATAATAGACCATGAGATGCGTGACAATCGAATCAAGATGAGTCGGTGTGCTTTCTGGTGAAACCCCATCTTCTCCTGGTCAGAGACTTTGGTCAAAACGTCCAAGTCAGGATTCTTCTTTGCGCCCAGGAGAATGGGAAGCGGATTGTCTCTGTTCTCCATCCAGCCCAAAGAAGAACGTCGTTTGGAAGAGACGCTTCTGTCTCCTCCTCACAATCTATAAAACTTGAACCCTCTGAGCCATAAATCTTCAAACATCACAACATCCTGAGGTGATCGGAATCAACATCGCAAGGTCCAACATCGCAACCTCTTCGTCAACCTCCGCAGGCTCCCGGTCCTTGCTGCACTCCAAACCAAACAACAAACACACCCATTGGTCCAAAGGCGTCAACCTCGACGTCCGCACCGTTTTCACCATCCCGACCTCTTTTTCGCAGCGTGGTGGTCTGGCAGCGCGGTCGCGTCGGATCCATACCGAGCTCCTCGGATGTACACCGTGTCAGATCCATTTCCTATGTTGTCCCTTTGGGAGCGGAACATCCTCGAACGTCTTGGACGCAGAAGACAGCAAAATCACACGAAGGTGTGCAAGCTCTGAACCTGAGGGATTGCGAAAAGACGGAGGGATTGTTGGCTGGGCATTTGCCGGTCATGGTGATATATATCTTCACACCTTGAGTATCCTTGACTCCAAGTCCATCCTTCTATCGCTCGGAATAGCCTCTTGCCTTCCCCATTTCCGAACCCTAACCGCCCTAACCCGTGCCCGATCGCTCGCCCTACTGCAATACTCGCGGCCAATTCGTTGAATATCCTTCCGCAGGATCATCGTCTGATGCCGCAGGTCCTCCACCTGCGTCCGGAGCGACGTGCTTCCGTCCCCTCAGAGGGACGAGGCTCGGCGCGCCTGAATGCTCTGCGCGGGGCCCTGAAGCGTCATGCAACCCGAGATGAACTCTTCAAAGGAGATTTCGCCACTACCATCCTGGTCCATGATCCTGAGCTGTGAGATGGATGCTCAACCATCCCAAAGCAAAGAGGTTTTTGGCGATCAGCTGGGCCTTCAAGCTTCCGATGCCTGTGAACTTCATTCTAAAGTGTAAAAAGAAGGGTCTGTCTCACGAATGCACAAGACACTATGGTCGACCACGCAGGACCATGCGCCCATCTTCCACCTATATCTCCACCTGTCGAACCTTCGGTCACCTGATTCGAACCACTGGTAATTAGTTTCTCTCGAAGCATCGGTCATCCCGCGCCTGAACAGGGTTCGAAGATCTCCGGTCGAGATGTCCATCGATTCCAAGAAATTGGTCAAGGAGTCTTTGGACATGGCCACCTCGTCTCGGCCGACTTCGTCTCAGTGACGCAAAAAATATCATGGGGTCTGTCAAATGGGAGGTTGTCATGACTGTCGTCTTCCCGAAAAGAAGGACGCAACAGGAGGTGACGGGAAAGCACAACATGGTCTTAACAACAAAACATTGAAAGGTCTGACGATCAAGTGATACGAGTATCAACTGCTGCAGGCTGTCAAACCAAAGTCTGGGTCGCCCAGAGCTACTACAGTGACATGTCAGCTGCCTATCTCAAGCGTCGCTTGTTTCAACACGAAGAACCATCAGCTTAATCGCACCCCCCGAGGAGGCGTGGACCTCCAGTTCCTCAGTGGTGATGACATTGGATTTGTCTGCGTCGATCTCCACAAAGACCTGAAAAAGCGATAAACTTCTGTGAAACACTCCTTTTCACCACCTGTGTAGCTTACAAGTCCAATCAAGATAAAACCTTGATGAACCTTGCATAGAACCATGTCACTTTGCTTTTTGAATGGTGGATTCTTAGATTGAAGCGGTGTTTGGCTTTCTTTCGGACTTTGAGGATAGTATATAGGTGGGTAAGTGAGTCTTGACGATGGGCAAATTAGTGTGATCGAACAGTTATCTTGTAGTTAAACCTTATTTCCATACAAACAGTAAAATGGGTGAGGGAGTCTTGCTAGCCGCCATTTTGTAGATGTAAACGGTGGGTCCAACATCCACAAGGATTTTAGTTCTATAAAATGACCATTCCTGACATGTTTTCATTCTCTACGTTTTGACTGTGGGTGACATCCTAAATCCACCTAAATTCTGAACTGAAACTGACAACGAGCTTGCAAGAACCCAAATGCTCTATAACTCTATAACATATTATAAAATCAATTCCTGACTCCCCCTGAAGGGGGTCTCATGAAACGTTTTATGGGAGGACCCAACTCCCCCCATTTTATAGAGGATATGGGGTTGGGTATCAAACAGTTGACCCAAACATTCAGATATATGGACAATGGAATTTAAATGTTGCCTTCGAGGTGTCAGAATAACAAGTTTAACTTACACGGGATTTTCTGTATGTCCGGTAGTTTTCTGCTGGGGCTGGGGGGGATGAGGGCGTCAAGGCATATCTCATCATATCTCTCACCTTCTGCTTAGAAAAACGAATGGCCTGGTGACTGCTTATACTCGTACAAACATCGATCCTCTTAAAACTTGCTTCACGCAAATGCGGTGTTTTAATTCATGGTATCCTCTTTAGATCTCTTTAGATTCCCAGAGCAAGACTATAATGAGTTTGAAAACACATCGACATTTGTTGAGGGTTCAGGTTCAGGTTCTCCTTTAATGTGTTTTTTGCCCGGTTCAGATTGGATAGATACACAGTCACATGTCAAGAGCCCTGGGCAGTTGAGCGAAACAAACGACATTTTGGTACCTTAGTTGTAACTCACCATTTAAGCTACATCCTAAACATCGACGATCTCAACCATCCGTCTGCCCATCGTTGTGCAGCAGAAGGCACTCCTTTCAAGGCTCGCAATTGAGCTTCTTTCCATTCCATTTGCTTCATGATGGCGATCTCCTCCCGTTTGAGACACGGCGGAAGGGGCCGACTACACACCCGTACACATGCGCGCAAACATGCATGCATGCCACAAGATCACGGCGCTCACAACGCGTCGATGATCCAAGAAAAGGCCTGCACTGCAAAGCAGCAAATACCAACAATAAGGTGCTGGTACTGGTGCCGGTGTTCAAAACAATATGTTGGGCAGTTTGCAGGATGCCAGAAATAATCGTAACATATAGTAAAGATGGTCGTCTGATTTCTGTTTGTGAGACCTGCATTGAACCAAAGAACCTGTAAGTTTCGGGTTTATGGGATAGCCTATCCATATAACACCTTATAAACACATTGTAACATTGTAAACTGGAGAACAAATGTGTTTTCGCTGGTTGCCTCCGGTTGTGCATGGTCGTGCCTGATTTTTGTTTTTGTTGCACTGAGGTCTTTGGCTTCTGTTTGTTGGGAAAGCCTGAGCTCTTGCGGCCTCCCAGTCCACCCTGTCATGTTGTTTGGTCAAAAACATCAACACAATTCCTCTACGTCAGAAAAAGGATTTGTCGTGGTGTCAACTTGAGGTCCTTGCAATGAGGGCCTGTGGAGCATTGACGATGATTTGGAACATATAGATCAGATCTGCAAATTCAGTTGATCCACCATATTGTGCTATTCTTGATGCTTTCTTGTGCGTCAGAAACCGTGTATAGAATTTGTTGTAGACTTACAACATAAGCCCCTTTTTCCAACTCAAGATGAAAAAGAAGTGGACGACTCTTGATGCTTTGAAGAACACACATTTATAGAAATGCGTACTGGCTCGAATGCCACATGCCACACGCCTACCTAGGTTTGAATGCCTAAGGGTTCAGGTTAGGTGGTAACTGAAGAACTTCTCAAAGAACCTCCAAAGCCCACGAGCTCGAACTGCGGAAACGCGACAAGGTGACGACGGTCCGTGCATGACTGCAGAATGCATTAGCACTTTACGATACATCTCGGCAAATGTTAAAATTCAAGCAGGTACACAGAGCTGATCAGGCTCTGCTTCCCAGATGCAAGGTAGCTTTGTTAGGCGCAGTTCCTTGCATCTGCTGCGCCCCCGTGCTGAAAAGGAAACAATCCAAAAGGAGCCTTGTGACTCCAAAGGTTACACACACACACAGTGGCGACTCGTTTGAGGCTCGTCCTTGTCGGCTTGGGCGCTTTCAATCGCCTGGGCGTCGGCAAGACGGCCACGTCACACAGGCGACGCGGCTCGTCGTGCGGCATGGGCGTTCCTTGATGTTTAAATGAAGATGTTCCCCCAAAATCCCCCAAAGAACTACGTATTTACCCAATGGACCCAATAGAAAAGAAACACCCCATTTTTGTGGAAGAAGAACATAATATGAGAACACGACAGAACATCGTCTCAATGATTCCAAGGAACCCGATGGCAAAACCTCAGTCGAATGGTCTGGAAAGACAAAGCTACAATCTCGTCGCCAGGGAAACTGGCGATCAATCATGCAAATTAGATCCACTTAGGCTGCTTGGAATTTGGGAGAGCAGAATGGACAACTTGCACATTTCTGCATCTGAGAAACACGCCCGTGACAACATTCAAGATTGCGAAGATACTCAAGAACACGTACGAGATGAAGAGGAATGAAGCCAAACTCGAGATCCTTCCTCGGTGCCGACACACTTCATGTCAAGTTGTCCATGCGCCGACCCCATGGCGTTCCACAGCTATGCTGCACTAATTAGCGGGGTGAGGCTGCTTTTCAGTGGCTTTGCCTTGTCTACCCATGCTATCCCATGGTCATGGCCATTGTCGCGTGACATGTAGATTCGATGATTATTCGATGATCTTCACATGGTCTCTATCCGTTTTCATATGTTTTCACTCAAGCCACACTCGTGCTTTCCCCAAACAAGTGGCTCCAAACACGCTGCCGGTTCCGCCCGACTCGACGCTGTCTCCGAGACTCGAAGGGGGTCCAAGGCTTCCACCCAGCTGAGACCACCCGAAATCGAGAGGAACAAGGTGAGCATCGTCTCCTTGGCGCAAGGCCCATCGAGATCCACCCAGCGGAGCCGGCAACCGTCTCGGTGCAAACCGCTTCACATCCGGAAACGCTTCACGCTTGGAGAGGCCGGAGGTGGGCTTGATCCACGGGACCCGCTGGAGAGTTCGAGCACCGGAGGTTCGTTCGATGTTTTGATCTCTTGTTCTGGTTCTGGTTGGGTATCTTTCCAGTCTGCTCGTCACGTATAGCAAAATTGTTCCACAATTGTTCAATTACTTGGAGTATACACAGTTAGAATTGATAAGAATGATAAGAGTTCTGAAGCTCACAGGGATCAGTCCTACACACTGATTGGCTCTGCTGGTTCTGCGGAGACTTCTAGTAGATTACCTACCAGTTTTGCAAAGCTTTCTCCAGGGTTCTCGGACACTGCGGTCTCTACTTTTCCGAGCCCCATCTCGCCGTCTTCTCCCAACTCAGATCGATGTAGACAACAACTTGTGCAAATAGGTTGAGGCCCAAACATGAATCGAAATCATTAGCCCTAGCCTCTGTCCCATTCCAATGCATTCCATATATCCATAGTGCCCAGTGCCCCGACCAAAACGCCGATTGGATCCTCCCAGCCATTTTGGATCCCTGCCCCGAAACAGCCCCCCGGTCGCGGTCCAAGCGTCTGGCACATCCAACCAATAGCGCATGTCCTCGCCTGCCACGATGTCGCAAGTGCGGCTGGGATCTGAAGCCTGAAGCCAAGCATGTGATGGAACCGCAAGGCAAAATGCAAAAGAAAGTGCTAAGCCAGCAAAGGGCTGACAACAGAATATTGGAACACGAAAACTCACCGTGCAAGAGTCTCATCTTCTCTAAACACTACTTACACCTTGATAATACCAACACACAGAGTCGTTCTTCAGCATACTGCTTGTGAGTCTTCCCCACTCGTCACTTCTATCCACTCAAAACAGCAAGCTTCAACCGCCACATCTGCTGCAGCACTGCTTTCAAGCAGTGCTTTGTCTGCCTGAAGAGCAGTGCAGCCGTCGGCCACCAGCTGAGCAAGGATTACACCTCACATGGGAGGAGAATGAAGTGAGTGGAAATGGGCCGGTTTGGGTCACCAACATCAAGCTCAACCGATCAACCGACTGTGACCAAAAGCAAGGTATAGAAACCTTCTCATGGAATGCGACAAACTGTCTGCATCATCCAACGCCTGTGGTAGATTGGCATCCTTGCTAGTCCAATTTTGTTGCTTTGGGAGGCTCAACCAGGGTTGTACAAGCACACCCAAACACCCACTCTGAGAGTGAAGGCTGTGTTCCTATCAGGTCGGTCCCCGGGTTTTGAAATTCGTGTGGGGGTGTTGATGTTAGCAAAACCGCAAGCACATGTATTTTCTACCCAGCACTATACCATGACTTACTCACAATGAGAAAATTCCGATGCTTCTCTTCATTGCGTAAACGGACCTTGTTCAAACTTCGAATCCCCTGGTGATCATGACATCACCATAACGGCCAGGAAAAAGGATGAAAAACGGTTCATATAACTCTCCAATATGCAATGGAGACTGGGGTTGTCATCCGGGAAGGTCTCGCCAGAAACAAAAAAACACCAGCCTATCACGTAGAAGAGAATCACCAGCAAGACCTCAGACTTCGACCGAGCTTCTTTGGGGCCGGGCCTTTGGCCACTCCCTTCTCCTTCTCCGAGTGTTTCCACTATAGCAAGAAACATTTGCCACAAGTAATTCAACGCCAAACAGCCCAGGTCTCTCCACCTGGATCTCTCAGCGATATATATATATAAAGATAGATGGTGTCCAGACTCGTTGGCCAACAAACTTTCTGGGGTTCACCTTCATGAACTACTATGGCCACCTCCCAGACCAACAATGCATCAATGCATCGGCTTAAGAATGCTTGGGGATATCGCAACATCTTATTTTGACTCTTTACGAAACCTTCCAAATGTTCCTCCCTCTTGCAAAGCGCTGCATGCAAAACACCGGAAACGAACAAACACTCTTGCCAGCGCGGAAAATGGGTGCGAAACAACATGCACAAGCGCACGCCGCAAGGTTGCAGTCCCAGTCACCAAGGTCCAAACCAAAGACCACAAGGTGCTCACAATCGCCAAAACGATTGAACGCAACGCCCCAATGGATCGGATCCTCAAACGCAAAGACTCGACTCGACCAACGGCGAGTCGCGGCGGAGAATGAAACCTCCAAAACAACGAAGAAACCACTTGGGGCGTGGAGGTTTGACGCAGCGTCGCAGAGTGATTTTGTGGAGGTTAGGCCCAAGAAACTAGTTAGTCCGAAACGAGTTCAGCGAACAAATGTATATATAATAAAAGAACCACAAAGTGTCCAGCCTGCCTCTGCATTGGAAAGCGGAACAAACACGCGGATAGCGAGTTGGGGTGAGTGACTGAGTTGGTGCGTGAGTTTGGTGTGAACAAAAGTTGGTTTGGCGCGTGTAAATGAATGACTTGGTGTATGTGTGTGAATTGGTATGTGAGTTGGAGGAGCGGCAGGAGGAGGACACTAGGCAGGAGCGGGATGACCCGGGAAAAAGTAAGAACCCAGGCCCCAGACTAACATGTGTGGAATTACGTAGTCAGTGCATCAAATACCATCCGTTAACATTATGTAAAGGTTTCCGGGCGCACCATCCACGAATGGTCCACGAATAGCCCGACGTTCCAAGACTGGTTGGGCCACGCCATTGATAGACTCATGTTGCCTCAACGCTCGGCCAACCGTTGCTAAGTGAATTGACCCAGCTTTGCAATCCAACAACAGGTAGTCAATTGACTGGGATACTTCAATCGTTCCAACTATGTGCTACTAAAGCTCTCAAACCGAACCAAACCCAATTGCTAAATGCACAGGGAGCAGCGGAGGAACTGGAAAGGAAGGAGTTGCGGAACCGGAGTTGGGGAACAAAAACGGGAGCAGGAACGGGGTCCAGGAGCTAGGGGGCAAGAGCGCATCACAAAGGCAAAAACGGGCAAAACCGTTGTTCGCGGCGCACGTGTGTTGCTAGATGCACACAAACACCGGCCGCACTTGCTGATCCTAACTGGCACAGGGTCGGGGGACTCCCTGTACCTCCTCAATTCCCTGCTTGATGGCGTGTATGGATGCTGGCCCCCTGGCTGCTCGTTTCCGTCAATGAGCACCAGCTTAGCTAAGTATCACTGCGTAGAAAGAATGAATTTGGTAGCAGAAACAGAAAGCACCACAAATGCAACAACACAGAAATGTCGTCGCGCAACTGCCTGTGGCCTTGCTGCAAATGAAGGTTTCGTGCTGCGGAGAAAGAATGCTTCCCAATGGCTTCCCAACGGGCCACAAGGCACAACACGAGTGACAAAACTGTTGCCGGCGCAAGCAGGCCTGCGGCCTTGCTGCACATGCAACATGTTTTGTGCAGCGTAGAAACGCTGCTTCGAAGCAAACACCAGACACTGCGGTTGCAAAACCGTCCTGCTCGGCATTATGGCCTTGTGCCTTGTTGCGCATAAGACATGTTTTGCGCGGAGTAGACTCGCAACGGAGATACGCCTGCGCAAAGTACTGTAGCCGGCATAAAGGCACGTTACTGAGCTGCACCGCTGGCGCTACCAGGACGTGCAGTTGGGCTCTTCCAGTGCGATTGAACTTACAGCGAGGCCATCAAGCCAACGATCTGCGCAGTCAGCCTGCCCCATGTGCTTTGCTGCGCAGGTTGCGTGCGCCAATAGTCCCCGTCCACACGACACGTTGCCACGTTGCCCCGTCCGCTCGACTGGCAGCGGAGCTGACAGGGTCCAAAGGCCGATCACAGCTGTCAGGGTTCCAGGGAGGAAGCCCGATCAGCACCTACTAGTAACAGAACTTGTGGCCCACAACGGCTGAATAGCGCTCAGGTTCCTTGGCGGGACCGCAGGCCCGCCACGGATTAAGGGTGGGCTGACTGGAATAAAACGAGCTGCATCATTCTGCTGCCGGAATGCATTGCTTGTGCATGCGGACCCCCTCACTCCAAATGTCTCAGTGGGACAAACACAGCCACCAAAGAAACGCCGGCCTGTGGAAACATCTAAACACAGGGCTTCCAAGATGGCAGTGCAGCACCCAGGGTTCCAACGTTGCAGGGTGGCACCTGACAGCCTGACAGCACCCACGGTTCCAAGCAATGGTTCCAACACAACGGCACTCAAATGATGCATTTTCGGATTTCGGGCTCCATTCTCTGCTGTTGGGAACAATAAGCTGCAAAATCTAAAGTGCAAATAGGTCAACATCACTATCAACACCAGCCAGCCCCCGAACGCAACACACCAGGATGGAAGTCCGGTTTTCAAGCCCTGTTAAAAAAGTGCCCCACTCCCTGCCCAAACAGCACCAAACAGCACCCAAGGTTCCAAACGGCACCCAGAATAGAATTCCGGTTTTCAAGCACCCAAAGTTTCAGAAAGCACCCATTGCTCACCACTCCCAGCCCAAACGGCACCCTGGGTTCCAGGGTGGAATTCCAGTTTTTGGGGCGCCGTGGACAAACTGTGCACCGCTCCCAGCTCCAGAGATTGAAACCCAACTTCGTCCAAGGATCAGTTTCACAACCCGAACGCCTCGCAAGGCACGCGCCAGGCGAACGGCTCGCATCACGCGTAGGTGGCTGGAATCCAAGGAATTCCCAACATTTGCTTTGGTGACCTCGGTGAACACGAAGGGCTGTACCATTTGCGCCGTAAAATGGCTCATCATTTGTCAGAACTAAAATGCAACTGAAACCACACTGAACAACGCACATGTTGGTAGTCAACAGGATGGCTTCACATGACGCATCTCACAGTGTCACAACGACCAAACAAAACTACAAAAAGTAAAGAGTCATCTTGCATCGCAGGGACGACATCCATGATCGTCTCAACCAAAGACGTCACCACGATCACAACATCAAACCAATTCCACAAATACTCGGACCCACAAAAGAAGAGTCTAAGCCCATAAGCTGTGAGCTTGATTGCCAGCTCAAAAATGAAGATGCAAACGATGATGATATTGACGTACAAATACCCAGGAGGAAGTTCTTCACCTGGAGGGAGGTGTGTTGCTAAATCCACCTCCACGCCCATCATGACCAAGTTGAAGGCAATCACTAGCCTTGGAAGTTCAAGCAAGTTGGAATCAGGTCACTCGTGCGTGTGACAGCCTTGGCAACATGGCATCACAGGTCGGCGATGGTTGGCATATGTTGGCGATTGTTGGCGTATCTATGTATTTTAGGAGGCAGGCACTGCAGGCACATGATATGACATCTCCCTCAGCTGCAAAATCTTCGCTCGTTTTTACCTTGCAAAGCACACTTCCATCATGAGAACTCATCTGCTCGCACACACACACACACCCACGCTACATGCCCACATGCTTTTCTTTGTGATCTGAGTGGGGTTGGGTGGGGTGGTAGTGGGGCTCATAGGGTTGGTGTTGGTGTTGGTGTTGCTGTTGCTGCTGCTGCTGGTGTTGTTGTGCTATGTTCCTCTTCTACTTGCTATCAGCATACCGGTATGCATCTACAGCTGAGCAACCGGCAACAACGGACCGCACAAAAAAAGAACGATGGAGAAAACACACGTACAAACGAGGGAGGGACCGACTGTCCGTTGAGAAAGGGAGCGCGGCAAAAACTGTGGGACCTGCAGAACAAACATAAAGCTCCGATTCCAAAAGCACATATGGATCCCTAATAGGATTTTAAGGAGGGGTTGGGCGGACCATTCTCTTTAAAACATCGGCCTTTTATATATAACTGGGTTAAGGGTACCCATTTCGAGGAAATTCCGGGGATCTGGATAGAAAGAACAGAATGAACCCCGAGCGAACAGAACGAACCTGAAGGAAGCATGTGGCGGAACAGTCGGACCGATGTGGGTGATGGAGCGACGGAGCGTCGGAGCAGTTTCGGTCTGCCGAATTTCAAGGCACCAGTTGCAAGGCAGTTTGCGCATACGAAAACTTTTTGAACTATATGGCCGCCCCTGGAGCTGTCCCATTTTCATCCACTTTCCTGCTCAGGCGGTGTATACGGTCTGTTTTTGTGTGTTTTTTCACCGGCTCAGGTCCCTCTTTGGAGGTCTTTCCGAAGGTGTCTTTCCTGGTTCTCCAGGGTCAGGTGGGCGGAGAAAATGGCCTCCTTGTCACTCCTTGTTCTCTCCGTCTCTGGGCGGAATCTGCTCGTTTCTCTTTGTTCATCAGGGAGACATGTGACATTCACATCTCATGTTCAGCTTGTGTCCGACTTGGTGCCACAGAGGGCATTTTCAAGTGTCAAAACAGGACTAGGAACAAGAACGCTACTATGGGCTCCTGGCCTTTCTACTAGGAGCAAGAACGCTACTAGGAGCAAAGGGCATCGCTACTAGGAGCAAGAACGCTACTAGGGGTGTCACATCCGGTCTGTTCGGTTGGTCGGTCTGTTCCCAGGGCCTTCTGTTCATGGTTGGGTCCCGAGCGGAGGAAAATGGCAAACACCAAAGCAGGGATAGCACCCCACTTTTTTTGTTCCATGTGCCTCTTGCCAAATAAAACCTATCATGGTTGCTATTGTCTCTCTACTTTGAGGCAGCAAATGGACTCAACCAATGGTGTGCTGAGTGAGGAGTGAGGGATATTCATAATTCGATATAAGTCGTAATGGATATTCAATGCTTTCCAATGCGCTCCAGGTCACATAATACTCGTGGAGAAAATGGACGATGCTGCCACTCGATGGGCTGCTTCACAAAGCCATCCTTCAGGCAAAGGCTCCGGTTCCACATGTTGTGAGATGTAGGAGGCTGAAGGCGATCCTGGATCCTCTTTGATCTTCACATTCTCAAAGTCCTCACGACTCGGGATCGGGACTCTCTGGATCCCGGGACTCGTCCGTGGTCTGTGCGAGTGGTTGGCCGGTTCAATCGGAAGTTTTCATGCCAGCAGCTAGGTATTGCGGAACAGGGGGAATATTATGGAATTATATTATGTGTTCCGGTATTTGGAAAAACAGTGTCACTTCCTGTACAGCTTGAAGACAGTGAACATCCACATTGGAGTCTTTGGTCTGAAGATGGTGTCTTTCGCATGCCAGAAACTCAACCGGAAGACCTTCATTTGATCTGCCCCTTGCTATTCTCAACTTCGATGCCTTGTGTGGCCCCCCAGGCCCTCTCAACTTCCTTCTGGCCCGGGGGGGGCTTCCAACTAGGCACCGGTCCGGGCCACCCCGGGCATCGGTCCTGTGTGGCTTGGGACGCCATGCCCAAATGTTCGAAGCCCGCCTTCGCTCCGTCCGAGTCGGACCGCGGCCGACTCAAGGCCTGGGCGGGCGCTGGACTCAGCGAGGTCGACGAGCTCTGAGGGGTTTTTGTTGCGGGAAACCACAGCAGGGAGGCCGTGGTCCGACTTGGGGTCTGACCCCCCAAAGATAGAAGGCCTTGGATTAACAGAGAGTGTGGAGTCTGTTTTCACCGATTTGACCCCATGTTTTCACACCCCCGAACATCCTTCACCGAGCGGCCAAGGTATCATGATTGATCGAGGAGACACGGCGGTGAAGCTCTCCTAGGATGTTAGCCTGTTTGGAAAAAAGCTCCTCCATCAACTGCTGCACCTTTCGTGTCTCTTCCCGCAACATCACGGCCATGTCGAGGTCGATGCAGGCACCCTCGCCCTCGCCGAAACCTCGTTCACTCTCCCAAGTTCCTTCTGGGGCATGTTTCACGTCCGGCGGCATTTCTCGATGGGTTATGGCAGGGTGATTTTACCGCTGCCTACCTTGCTGAGCCAAACACTGCAGTCGTCCAAGTCAACAACATCCAATCTCAATCGGAAGCACATTCAACTCATGATAGTCCATCTGGGCTCCCATAATCGGTTGGGCTTCTGCTGCTCTGGTCAAGGATTGAGACCTTACAACCAACCCTCCCAACTCAACAGTTTTTCTGCTGCAGATTTGCAGATGCCAGCTGACCTCAACCCCTTCGGTCTAAGAAATCTAAGAAACCCAAAGATCCTCCCTCAACCCGAGCTGCTCTCGAATCTGTATTTGACATAGTGAATCCTGGAGCCCGCCCCGGCCTGGAGCATAAGCGCAAAGATGCAGAGATGACCTGACGACACTTACGACGCTTGCTGGCGCAAAGAACTCACCAGGAATTTCCAGCCCAACAGTCTAACACAAACATATAAAGACGGTGAATCAAGTCACATAACAAAATGGATAACAACACACACACACACACCCCTCCCAAACACACTTACTGGGAGCGATCGACGCTCACTTCGCAAAGGTGGACCGGACCCTCCTGACCTCAGTCACTGCCGCACCAGAAGGGGCAGTCGCTGGTTGCTCCGGAGATCCACTGCGCGGGGTCATTGCGAAAGAATGTCCTAGCACTTCCAGGAAGTGACCAGGCACCCAAAGCTTAGTGCTGGTACCAAGCGTCACACTTGCAAGGGAAATGATTCAACACTCAGTAGATCTTCTCGCCATTAAACCTCTTGTGAGGTATTTGGGTTGCATTTGGACAACCCATCACCAAATCTGACAGCTGCCTTGAACCCGCTTGCTAATCTTCTCAGAGACATTGGGCCAAAAACTGTTCTCGCCAAACACTCGAGCATCGACTGCGAGGTTCAATGCAATGCTTGGGAGGAAAAAAATCCTTCAAGTGCAGTAATAGCATAGAATAAGTTCGCATGCCATGATTAGACCTGCATGTCTTCCTTAAAATCATCTAAGCAATTGGCGTTCCACACTCAGGCCCTGCCTTGAACTATCAGACCTCTCAAAGATGCACAAGCGCTTCTTTTGTTCAAACGCTCGCAGCAGAACTTCCCAAAGGAAGTGAGGCTTTTGCGCTCGCGTCTTATGTTTTGAAATTCATCACTGATTTGTGCTAAGAGTTGTTGTTGGCTTGAGAAGAGCTACTTTCACACTAAATAGGAACTGACCAACCACATATCACTACTGCAACCAAGTACTTAGCGAGTCTTCTTTCACAGTCGCGGCCAGTTAACCTATTTACAACGGTGAGAATCGGAAGCCAAATCTGCTTCCAGTGACCCAGCAATGCTGCGGGAAATCCGACGTTTATTGTTCAAGGGAAAACCATGAGAGCGGTGGAACATATTTGTTCCTAAACTCCGTTTGAGAAACACCCTATCTTGTCTGGATTACTTTTGGAGAAGATGTTTCCATGATTTATTATGTCTGCACCAGCTCGTTTGCTGTTTCTGATGTGTCTCAAACATGTGAACTCTAGGAAGAGATCTACCCAGGCGTAGACACTAAAAATAACTTAAATGATTGTCCTTTCGATTCCAAGAGGTCAAAGCTAGCGGGTCGACGGTCGACATACATATATCATCTGATATATCTAGCTAGAATCTAGAAAGGCTATTTCAACGCAGTGCTGCAACAGTGCAGGATTTGTATGGATTCTCTGTCGTTGTTGGTCGCTCAGTGGCCAACTTCGGATTTCCGTTCGATGGACAGTGACGCCATCCGATGAAGTTGTGACACCGTCCGTTCGGATGTCGCCTCTCATTCCTGAAGCAGCTGGCAAAGTCAGACACCGCATATCGACTGCAGACTTGTGTGGGTGTCCCTTTACCACCACCAAGCACCTATATATTGTTTCTGGCCTCAAAAGGAACTTTATGGACAGTATGAAGTAATCATTAGCTGTGCGGCCGAAGTCAGCATTTACTGTATACATGACCACCACCAGAACTTCCAACCTAGGACTCTGCACAAGCAGCCATCATGGGCTGAGACACCAAACATTCCATGGGCCAAACATATACACGGCAAACACCTCAAGCAGCATGAACATGTGCAGGGGAAACAAACGACTAATCATATAATAGTTAGAGTTAGAGACAGTATTGGTCGCTATTATGAGGTCCATGCAATCTCAACATCTATTGCGTTGCTGATTCCACGGTTCTACCAAACCATGTACCTTGGCCGGGCTGCCTGAACGGCAAACGCCTTTCTTAGACACAACACCTTTGCATCTCTTTCAGATCTCCCTTGGCAAACTTGGAGTTTTTTTCCTTCTAAATACCAGTTATGTATCAATGATGTTGATCTGGAAGTTAAGTTGAGCATGGTTGTGTAAATACATACTGGATACTCCAAATCACCACTCGAGACTTGCAGCTCCATCTGTGTCCCATCACCTCAAACTTCGAGAGATCTCAACATCATTGATTCAAAACCCCGGCCTTCAAGAATGACCAAAACCACCTGCAAGAACCCGCACAGAAACGCTCTGTTCCAACCCATCCTCAAACCCATCAAAACCCCTCTCAGTGGGGGGTTATTGTGGGATCACCATGGATCATCCAGACACCGTTCGCCAGCCTTTCGTTTCTTCTTCGGCTTTACTGGTGCCTGGTGACCCGAAAGTGTCGGCGCCCCTGAAACTCCAGTGGCGTTTTTGGGGGACGACCCAGTGGTTTTGGAACCCGCCAAGTTTCCACAAACCCACGTGTCTTTTGGAGTATCTTTTAGAGTGTTTCCAAGAAATCCATGAGAAGAACCTGGCGAGCCTGTCCCCTGCACCGAACTGTTGCGGGGACATAATTACAGCGAACGACGAGATCATTGCTGTTTTTAATGCTTTTTTTCGTCAAACAGATCGTGCCATATCGTGCCTAGGCCTAAGAATCCTGATCTGTTTGTTGGAAGCTGAGCCTGGGCACTCCCACAGCAAGGTTTGGGCGGTTGGGCGGTCAGGGACAGAGAGATGTCAGCATTCGACCTCTCAACTCCTACCCCCAGGTCATCACCAGTCAATGGTGCATCGCTCCGAGTTCGAGAACAATCCAATCTCAAGAAACTAGTTTAATGTTCACCAATTATATAGTTCTTTTCATTTCAGTTTGCAGAGTTGCCACTCTCAGAACATGGTTCCCCACAGTCGGGTTAATCCTTCCGACGAGGCGTCCGGGCCTCCTCTTCTTCTGCCTGACCGTGTATAAGCAAAATGAATCAAAACGATACCAAACCATCAGAATAGTGCAATGATCCTTTTTATGATTGTGACAACACCTTCCTACGTGTAGCACAGTTAGATGAAAATGGTGAGGTGAACAAAGTTGTTGTCAATTCCTACGATCACGGACGGGAAACAATGTACTCGTCGAACATGCTCCACCTCAACAATTATCCCCTTCATTCAATCCAAACAATGAAGGGAAAGTTATGACCCTAAAACACGCATAACAAGACCCCAGAAAAACGACAAAGGCTCAACACAAATGTTCAAAAGCCAAGAAAATTCAACGAGGTGATTGATGAACCAAAACTCCCCAGAACCCCCATTTTACATTTTTTTGGGGGGTCAATCTAGAATCTATAATTTTCCCAACAACCACTTTGCCGTTGCGCTGGCTGCTGAATTTTCAAGTGGATTCTCACATGGTTGCTTGTCTCTCTTCCTTTCGGCAAGGCCAAACGTTAAACACGGCCACACAACTCGAGGCGCAAGAAAACAAAAGCTCATGTTCAGTGCCTCTTCTGTCTTCTTTCGCTTTGTCTTTGCTACTGCCTCGAGGCTTTCACCAGGAGACAAGCCCCAAAGCCTGACCAAACCTGTTTCCCAGTATGCTACTTCCCATCGCGCTTTGTAAGGGCATTCTTGGACATCACGGAACTGTTGAGCCACAAATGGTCTTGACCTCGAAGAAGGCGTCCATCGACTTCCGACAAAAGAGCCTTTGCCTTTTATATCTCTGGACTATCTTGTACTCTTGCCCTGTCAAACTGCCCCAAGCAGGCCCAGGCAAGCAAGTGCTAGGCATGGCTTTGCCCATCTTCCAACCAGTGAACGCGCACAATCACCCCCGGACGTCTACACCCAAAACGTTTCATAACAACCAACTTCACTAGAAACCCATAATTGTGAAACAACATGAAACAACCAATCTGTTTGTTTAACTACAAGCACAAACAGACCACAGGGTATGTCGCCTTTAATGCTTCGTCCATCTCTTGCTGTGCTTCTTCGCAGGTGAGCTTTGGGAGATAGCTCCACCTGCTCGGTCGATTTCCGACTGATTTCCAGGAGTCACATGGTGGTGTAGTGGGTGGTGTGGCTCGTCCCTTCCAGTGGATGTCCGTCTTGTGACTCCTGGTTCATATGAGTTCATAAAGCTTGATGTTCCGGGTGCCAGCGGAAATGTGCCAATCACAGCTGTGTTTTTGCAGGGCGCCAGCAGGTTTGCACACTCACTTTGGTGGGGGCACTCTCTTGGACTCGACTCATCTCATTGGCAGGAACATGTTTGATCTAGTTCTTTAGTTTGGATATGAGTGAAAAGCAAACATACACTGACCAACAGTGAAAATCATGCTACATCTATAGTGCTTATGGAGGGTGCCCCACCTGCCATTTCAAAATGAGTTTGGTTTGGTATGTTTGGTTTACCTCCCTTATGAAGACATTGGTAGAGAACCCAACATACCTGTCTGCTGATGGCACCCTTCTGCATGACACACACCTGTCACCAACCCCAAACGGATAGGGATCAACAGGATGAGTCGTCGATTGGTCATTGAACTTCTTGGTACGGGACAACAGAACATCAAACAACCTAAACAAACAAGACACACAATCAACACCGAGCCATAAAATCACAGCTTCCCCACAAACAAGATCAAACCAAGGGTCCACTGGTGTCCTCCCACATGTCGTCGTGTGCTGCCTCCCTTGGCCCAGTAGCCAGGCTTTGGGCGTATTCTCATTGGGCTTCCCCTGACAGGATCGCCATAAACATCGCAGAGCGGCTACTGTAGAGCGGCTAGAGGTGTTGGTGTCTGGTGGTCTCAAACGATACATCGAAATATAGACATGCCTTAGAAGCCTGAAGCAATAGGTTGCTCTAAACAAACTTGCATGGCACCATGGACAAACAAAGCATTCAAAGGAATCACCTACTCTGTGAAACCTTCCGCAGTGCCTTCTCGGTGAGCTTACCGGCCAAGATCAATTTCTTCTTGTCAGTGGAACGTGGACCATAGCCCCACCGCCTCTGACATGATGAATTGTGAAGCGACAGGGAACCCGTTCACATCTCTCGCCAAAAGCGGTGCAGTGGGCAACTGCTGAGCTTGCTGCCTATTTGATCCTATTTCTAAAAATGTTAAAATATTTCTGCCATCTCACAAAGCCAGAGCTGGTGCGCATTCCTCTGTTGCCGGAATTCGAGGCCCTTGCATGTTGTAGGTGTCCCGTTCCATGATCACTCGCTTGATCACCTCAGCATCACTTGCAGCAAAGGAAGGCATTGTGACTGTGAGCATCATTCAGCCCACAGTTCAGAAAGGCACCCCCTTTCTAAGACTGTTGTTGAGATGCAGTTCCAAAAAAGGATTCTTCCGTCGTGTGCCACTAGACTTTCACCAGCACAGACAATGCACCACATGTCTCGAGCTGCCGACGGAGACCACTCCATGGTCTACGGATGCAATGACCGCAGTGGTCATCTGTGCGATGCCGGTGGCAATGGCCTGTGTCAAGGATCAGCACTTGGCAGCTTTGACCCCAAGCAAGGATCATAAGGGCAGGAGGGTTGGCTCCTGGTGGCAGGTTGGTGGATTTGAAGGAGTCAGGGCCCTAAAGAGGGTCAATAATTGAGAACTCTTATCCGTTTCTTTCACCTGGCGTGGCTGCAATTTCTTTACCCAAGAAATGACCCAAAGCAACTCCGGATGAACGGCCGAGCGAGCCATGCAAGTGAGGAGTCAATGGGGTCTCCGGTTCAAAGCCTCCAATACCACTCTCACCGGTGCAACGAAAGCGCTCTGCTTTCGGGGTGTCGCAACTTTGAGGTGCTCATCTTTGCTCAACTGGATGAACTTCAGAATGGACTGAGGCTTTGAATGTCTGAGTGTCAGGATATCTCAAATACATCTCCAACGCCCTGAGATCCCCCCGAGGCTATTTAGAGCCGCCCAAGGTTCGGCCTCGCCCTTGGTGGTCATCATCACGATTTCCGACCCCACCTTGCGTGCGTGCCACGGCGTGCGGTGGGGTGTGCCGGGTGAAACGAAGGGGGTGACGAAGCGACCAGAACAAAGAGCCTTTGGCCAGTTCCTTCAATGACTGCACCTCGGCGCCCTTCACTTGGAAACACACCCCTGGAGACCTGGGTGATCTGATCACTGCTTGATCTTCCTGAACCAGTAGCAAACTATTATTGTCAGCCACTGAAGTACACCCAGTATCACCCAGTCATTTTTAGAATTCGTTTAGCGTCGCAAGCAGCTTCCACCGGCACCTTTTTCTTCTCTCGGCTGCGCCTCGATGCCCTGCTCAAAGCGGAGCACGCCAGGGATCATGAGCTGAGCACCATAGCAAATGGCGTTCACTGCGCTGTCCTGGCGGAGTGATGCACAGCGGAGCCAACGAGTGTGCTGGAGCCAACGGGAAGGAACGAATAGAAACGCGCATCTCTGAAAGAAGAGGACAGCATGAGACAAAGTCAAAGAGTTCAAAGAAAACAAGAGCACAAACAAACAACTGACTCAGTATACTGAGTCTACTAGTAGCAAGAAGCTAGTAGGTGGAGGTCATTGTTCTTAGGTTGGAGGCCATCACTACTAGTAGCAAGAAGCTACTAGTAGCAAAGGGCATCGCTACTAGGAGCAAGGACGCTACTAGGGGTTCCTGGCCGTACTACTAGGAGCAAGAAGCTAATAGAGTTCCAAATGTCCAAGAACTCAGTTTTCACTTTTTTTTTCTCTCTCTCTCTCTCTCTCTCTCTTGTGCTTCACGTCAGGACCTCGGGTTCGTGTGTGGTCCTTCACCACAATCCTGGGATAGTTGGTCAGGATCAGTTCCAGTGGCATCACCACCTGTCAGGCAAGTTGAAGACTGGAAGAAGACTGGATTGAAACGTCATTAGTTGAATGTTTATTCTCTTGACTAATAAGCTCACCCAGTTGAATTGGACATCCTCTTCATATGGAGGATTTATTAATCAAAAGTCCGCATTATTCATGTTTGTTCTTTTGTTTCCATTGTTCTTCTTCCATAGACCCTTGAGTGATGATCAGCCACGAAACTCAGGATGTTTTAAAAAGAAAGCCTGTGGCAAAAAAATAACGACAACAAAAAAGGAACCTGCGGACACCATCAAACACCTCTCCCTTGCAACGTGTTCTTTCCGTGTGAGGTCCGAGAACCCAGCCCTTCTGAGGTATTTCTCATCCCGCATGTTGTTGTACCTCGCGGATGGAGGGGCGATTATGGATTGGATCAATCCAAATTGCAAAGGCCATCAATAGAATAGGATAGAATATGGATCTATGATCTATGGAATATGATAGAATGTGGCTCAATCATGATCAATCTATGTTACAAACTTAATATATATATATACATCTGCCATGCAAATTGATTTCCCTGCAGTGCATGGGTCACATGTACATGGAGTCGAGCACGTCGTGCATCCTCAGCAGCGGGTCCCCAATTGCGCACTTGATCGCTTGGATTTTGGAATGCTCACTCCATCTTCAAGCCCATCCAAGATTCGTAGACATATACTTGTGCTCATCGAGGACACCTGAGCGATTTCGTCGTAGCTCCTGCATCAGGATGTGGGAGTATTAAATTTGTCTTGCGCTGGAGAGGCATCTAGGACTGCCAAGCTGCCTCTAGCAGCAACCCTCCAACATACTCCTAATGTAACACATTCATGATCCATGAAAATCCATGTCTAAGTCCTCTTCAATCCCAGATATCAAGTGAAAATGGTCAAGCCTGCGAAGAACCCGACAAGGCTTTGGATGTAATACTGGTTATCCCATCATATCCCCTCCATCTCCTGCATGTGAGCTCCGACGCCGAGCATGAAGCCCAAGTGGACACAAAGCGTCCGAATGTACGTCCCAGCCTCCGCATCCCCGTGCGCCACGTCGGTGTTAGAGGTGAATCACCACGTCCCACGTCCGTGCACCATGTGATGGAAATGGTTGAGCCACATTGACGAGTGGTCTAGTCTAGATGAGTCTAGAGTTTGGGGCCTTTTGTCCCATTCCATCTTGGTGGTCGGAATGTCAAACAGGGATATCTGGCCGGCTGCTTTTGGGTGTGCATTGTTCACACAATGCACTAGCGGGTTCTTGATTTCCCGAATTGAAGAACAACCATGAATATGTGGGTGTGTATTTTAATGAGGAGACACCCTGGCCCAATGGGTGGACTGGTCGATTTTCCGAACCTTCCAGAGGGTCATTGCCTGGGAGGTCTCCCTATTCAAATACGCACCCATATTCATATTCAAAAAAAATGAAAGACATGTTCCACCAGCCGAGCATTGGCACCTCGCAGGAGGTCCAAAGGACAGCCATCTGCCCTTGGATGCGATGCGAGCTTTGCTCTTGGCAGTGATGATTTTGAAGGTCAGCAACTTGACTTCAAGAAAGTCCAGTGATGGCAAAAAACTAACAATTTCACGGGAATGGCATGGCCAATCTTGACGTAGCATTTGTCCAATCCATTTGAAGAGAGTGTTTGCTGGCACTTGATCTTTGCAAACACTATGACACTATGGCCATGTGGGACACAAAGCCAGGTCTAGGTCCGACTCGAAGACATGCTCTTCTTTTTCCATTGCCCATGCAGTGAGACAGGAACTTCGGAGCACCAAGTGGCTTTTGGAGCTATACTCAATGAGCTTGGCCTCCCCGGGTAGTGGCGTGATATGGCGTGATGGTACATGATCATGCACAACAGCTCTTCCTCTTCGTCAAAACACATCACGAAGTGTCATTTATAACAGGACTGCAACTTGAGCAAGAAACATGAAACATGCTCTTACCAATAGACTTATGATTTACTCCGATTTGTACTGAAAGGTTTTTTGGACTTGATGATACCGAGCACCCGCTTGGACTGTTGGCGTGTCAACTCTATGGACTTCACCCTTGCCCATCGAGCTAAACCCCTGTGCCTCGTAGATCGTTCCTAGGCACTTCCATCATCAAACAAATAAAAGCCAACAGCAGTTATACAGCTTGTCAAGCTGTATTTTGACACAAAACACAGTATTTGACACTGGTATATCCTTCCTGCAGAAAACCAGTTGAGCACGCATTTGACACAGGTATCAGCTGTGAAGATTGCTAGAAGATTGCCGGTCCGCACTGGACTCTCACATGTCCCCCACTGTGCTCCCCGACGAACACGAAGCTGACGCTTCACCGCCGAGATCACCGGTGGCCTGACAAAGTTTTCTTGCAAGAAACGGGTTCAGTTGCAATGATTCTCTCTAGTAGGAAGCTTACAAACAAGCTAGTGTGGGCAATCTGAGTGCCACATGCATCCACATACTCACATCCTGAAGTTTCTGACTCCAGCTTTCCAGCTGGGATCTAAACTTCCCAGATTCGTTTGTGATGCCACTTGCAAACTCACTTGAGCATGGGGTGGAGACGTCTCAGTTTTTTTTGGGCTTGCCCAACTCTTCGACGAGCCGGAGAATCGGTTCCAACATGTTCACACGAGTCGCATGAATCATTGTGAGGTCTGTCTTCCTACTCCGGACACATTTCTCAGTTGGCCAGTACGGCAGTAGCAATGTGTAGTCTGGCCATGTTGAATGATATGTCTCCCAAGAAGTTAAGTTGCGAAGACCACATCGTCACCTAGCCGTCACGAAAGACCGTTGCATGAGCCCTTTTTTGGGGCTCCTCTGAAAGCAGGCGCCCGTCAGCTGGTCGAGGGCCTCGCTTGACGTGTGACGTCGAGGGCCTCTGCCTTTCGGCACTGTAAATAGTGGATTGATAACACCTGGTCGGACTGGTTATCCACCTTCAGCTGGAGGATGCTTGGAGCAACCCTAAGACCTGCTACACTTCTCAAATGAATAGAAACGATTTCGAAGAATTCTATCCGGGGTAATTGTGCTTTGTAATGTTGTTCGAGATGATGGAAGAGCCATATTAGGCATCATGCCTCCATTTTGCTTCCAAGCTTGAAGAATAATCAATACATCGATGCACTTGTGCCAAAACGTTTGTAATTTGCATACAGTAATATTATATGACAATCTTGCACGCTCCCATGACCTGTGCGTAAAGCGTGTGTGTGTGTGTTGGAAAGCTCCTCCTCCTGAATAAAGCCTTGCACGGTGGAAAGTTCCTTCTTGTCTCTGAATTGCTTCCGATCGAACCTTGATCTCTAGAAACACTAGAGACAAGCCAATGCACTCCCTGAGACAATGCCACTCCGTCACCACGACACAGTGCACAGCGAGCGCTGCCTTCTGAACTTTCGATGCAGAGCCGGGATCCGAGTGGAAGCGCACCACTGCAATGTACCTGTCGTTTTCAAGAGACTTGTCCCTCCCCGACGCATTGGATCTGGAAGAACCGTTGGGCTTGCCAAACTGGAGGTTTCTGCTTCAAGACAAGAGCAGGTGCTATGCTGAGCATGCTGTGGAGATGTCTTGCTGCTTGTGACCAGCCTCTGGCACCTCCCCCATCCCTCCTCGTTGGTGGAGCTCTTCACCCGCTGGCGCACTCTTTTCCAGCGGACTGTTGTGCCTTCACCAGGCGTGTAGCCCGATTCAAGCACACCAGCAGGCAGCCGGAGACCTGATTCAGGCGTCCAAATGATCAAGGTCTGTGAGAGCCAAAGAACCAAACTAAGTTTAACTATACTACTAAGTGAGCTGCTCGTCATTCAGGCATGTTCTTACAAAGCGACAGCATTTTCCATGCCTTTAGACAGCTCCTGGCAGTGACAAACCATTTTGGGGTTGTTCTTGAGCGGGCTTTGCTTGAATCCTGCTGCACCCAAAGTTCCAGAACGTGGCGCTCTGCTTCTTTGACGTTCCCAAGCACCATGCATCAGTCTTTTTCCGTGACCCAATTTCCACATCGAAAAAAACGGCCCCCCCTTTCCGAGACCTACACCGTCAAAGATTTGTATCGACCAAGATTCACTTTTTGAATGCTAATAATAATTGCTCTTCTCCCAATCATCGTCCCAAACACTGGTGACTCGAGCACATGCCCTGCTTGATATTTGGTATCTCATTCCGTGCGCACGTCGCGTCGTCTCTGGCCTTGGGGTCCAGTGTGCCGGAGTGGCCCGTCTTCTCGCAGTTCATGATCCGTTTGATCCAAGAGACCACCTCGGTCAAACGGAGAAGTTGCAAAGCAACTGCCATCGTTGACATGGTTCTGTTGGGCCGGTGTGGAACCCAGGATCGGTTCCAGTGCATGTGTCCAGGTTGTCTTTAGATGTCGCTACCAGGGCGAAGCCTTCGAACTTCATTCACAGCCGGCCTAAGACCTGCGAAAGACAAACACGCCGTCCGGTGGAACACGGACGTCCCACCGATGGTTGTCATGTCGTGAAGGAGCCCATGGGGGGTCATGGAATTCGAAAGGATCCCATCCAAGGCGCGCTTTTGCGCTTTTCTGAAAGAGATGAGGTCGAAGGCTAAACCGAAGGAACCTGTTGGGGGGTTCCAAGGAATAGCTTCTGACATCCAAACAATTTTTTTTGACTTCACTTATTGCATTCTGCCAAATGTCACAACATGTCACAACAAACTCCTCGTTCCTCCGAAAACCACCTGGTCTTGGTCCGTTTCGTTCGTGGCGTGGAACACCACCACCGATGCACCGATCACTTGTGTGCGATCCGCACCTCGTGGCTGGATGGATTCACGGGCTTGTCTAAGTTGAGGATGCCATAGAGCAAATAAGCCTCCGCCAAATACCAAATCTGAGTAGGTCTGCTGATGGTCTATGATAGGAGTAGGTGGTGCTTGTCCATACCGCAAGGTGATGTCTATTGTGGAAGTGCCAGGGAGCCATGTCTTGGATGATTAGGGTGTGTGAGATCTTGTGCGTCTGGGGAGAATCTCAGTCAGCCAGAGGTGTTCAGATCGGTCGCAATTCAATTTTTCCGCTAGCAGCTAGCACTGCTGGGATCTCCCCAGCAGTGTTGTGGAAGCCAAGTCGATTTTGAAAAATGTTTGGTTGCTTTCAGTGGGGAGAAATGCTCCCAGCTGAAGGGCCCATTGTTCTTGTTCTTGATGTACGTTGATGGCGGGAAGGAATAGCCAGCTTGGAAAACAGGCATTTGCACCTGTCTGCATTCACTCAAAAACATTAAACTAAAAAGAAAAATGTAGCTCGGATGGCGGTATGTCAAGGGCAGCGGATCCAAAAGTCCCTCTGACACCCATGTAATGTAGGATTCTCTAGGATCGTGATGAATCAACCCTCCAATATCAAGAGGTTGTTGAATCCAAATGGGAGGGGTCGGAGGGGTGAGGGGTCATTCTTATGAGCTCCGCATCTCCGTCGAATTCCGACCCCTTCGGCGGCCTCCAAAGGCCTGGTCAATGGAGAGCACCCAAAGGGCAGCGGGGTATAGTGGCCTGTCCTGGCCATCTTCGAAACACACATCAAGGGGAACCCAAAAGCCTTGTTGCGCTTGGGTAACAGAGTCGGAGCTGGCAAACATATGAACTCAACATGGCACCAAGCAACAAAAAGGAACAAACCAACACCACAAATTGAGCAGTGGCTCAAAAGGACCGAGAGAGAGGCATCCAATTGGAGCGTTGGAGGAGGAGGCAGTGATATAGTAGGTCTCCAAATCAAGGTGACCCAGAATTGTTCAGACCATAACTTGTTTGGGGGATCATTGGGGGAATCCCTCATTTAAGAGATAATGGATGAGAACTTGGATGATAGTTGCGTTTTAAGAAGTTGAACAAATTTGAAATCTGTGGGCACACCATATCCACAGCAGCACGTGGATGTCAAGTGAACGTGTGTTCAGAATGCACACAAACTAGCATCAGGCATTTCCTTAGATCCTGGGTTCACTCATGCTCAATCATATCACGACACCAGAGCTTCAAAAGCAGGCAGTCATGTCACCAAACGTGGCCCTGTAATTTAGCTATAGTTCTGTTTCAGGTGGGACAAGTGACTCCTGATTGCAGGTGGGACAAATGCCTCCTTCTCAAACACACACACAAACATGTTTGCTCCTTTGGTCATATTCGTTCCAGGATATTTCCTTTTTCTCGTGTCAAGACAATTCTCGTATCGGAGCTATCGGAGGTCATGACACCGTCACCAGTGAGAGCCAATTCATGAAGCCCTTCAAAAATATCACACTGCGCCGATGAATGGGCATATATCTCTATATATAACGACTCTTCATGAACCATCAACGGAAAATCACGTCGGGACCATCACCATTGACTCTGTAGCTGCTGGTCGAGCTGACAGGTCGAGGGCACCTTACCAGAAGTTTTGAGTAGTTCTTCAAGAGCAGGGGCCACCTCGGTGCTTCCGGTGCCGTCCAGGCGGTTGGAATCAGCGATTTTCACCAGCGTAGCGTCCAGGCGACTTCTGGTCCAAAGCCCAGAGCGTTCCGGACTTCGTCCGGACATGGTCCAGAAATGTCTAGAGTCTAGACTCTTAGGACCAGAAGCAAGATACTTCTACACAGGTTTCGTGCTTTTAAGGGCATTTAAATGTACGGAGTAGAAAGAACTACCATAAGTTCAAGCGATTTCCAGAAACTTGGATCAAAAGACAAAAATGCCACAGCACTAGATCGTGTTCATTCCCTCATTTGCCAACTGAGCATGTCCAATCATTGTTCAAAAGAAGCACTTGCACCGCTCTACTGAAGCATATTAAATCTGATTATATATACTTACATGCAATTATAATCAATTAATATCAATTATATAGCAATATATATACAGTAAGTATATATCAAGATTTATGAATTGACCCCGAAGCTTAGGATATTCTTATACAAACTGCACGGTTTCAACATGTACCCTCACAGTGATTCTGGCCTTCTCAATATGTGGGCCTCATCCCATCAAATGTCCAAACATTTCAGAAGTTGGAACTTTATCAAAACTTCTTGCCTCAGGTTTCCGACCCACAAGAAGCATTCCCAGCCTATCCCAATTCCACAAACACATCAAATCCCTGAGACTTCTCCTTTCTGCTGACTTTGGGGAAACCCTTACACACCTCCTGTTCATGTGGGCATCTCTCAGAGCACGATGTTTCGCCATCTCTGAGAGCTCCGCTTTGAAGTGTCGATGGGCTTTTGACTCTCCTCGGGCTTGATGAACAGCTCGGCCTCCCCCTGGACGACGAGGCACGGCGCCAGGGCCGCCGTGACTCGGTCAAAGGGGTTCTCTACAGGGGAAGCCCTTGATGTCTGGAGCCAAGCAGGTCTGGAGTCCACGGGAAGAATGTCCTGAAGACGAAGTCCTGCAACATACCAGAGCAAGCTCTAGAATTAACAACAAAACCATCTTACAAATAGTTTGGCAAGTGTCGGCATGCGTCATAGCTCTGGAAACCCTGGGCTTGGGAGCTCTTCAAAGCCAAGTGCCTTTGGGGGGGTCCGTATTTTTCTTTGCAAATGTCCTCAGGTGTCGGTCTGCTCAGCTGCGCTGAAGCGAATAGGTAATCAGTGATTGATCAAGTCTAGGACTGAGTTCCGCACTATGAAACACCCGTTTGGTGGGAAGCTCTTTGGACGGCTGCACATTGGCATGCCGACTTTTTGACTACAAATGAGTTTGTCTTGAAATGGAGCAACCCCATTTCAGTGAGAACTGGTAATTCCGAGAATGTCCATACAAACAATATCAAAAAACAAAGTGGGTTGGAGAGTTCAATGGTTTCAAGCACTGTTGACTAATTACAACCCTGCCAATGTTTCGGTTCACCTGCCAAACGTTGGGGGATCCCTGGCCTTCTTTTTCTTCTTCTTCTCACCCTCCGCCATCAGGTCGTTGCGGAAGGCGACTTAATCACTAAGCCACATTGGCTGTCAACGGCCATGTACACAATGGCACAACAGCTGAAAAGCAGAAGTGCACCTGGAAGGTTGGAACAGGAAAGGCAAACACAAGCGTGTTAACCCACCTGTAGATAGGCAGGTATACTTCAGCTATGCATAGCTCTGCCTTGTCCTCTGCTGCCCTTGTGAGAGCACCATCCTAGGCAAAGGATTCATAACCAGTATTGGTGGTCCTGAGATAACGCCGCAATGCCTCTGCACATAGCGCGAGCTGCTACTCCTTTTGGTCCTCTTGCAACTGCGAATCTCAGAGATTCGAAGTCTAAAGCCTGGGCACTTTCGCCATCCTGCTACAAGCGACTAAACCATTCCTAAACCTAGCTGTACATGATCATCCACCTCAGCGTCAATTGGTTGGAAGCAGCATTTGCTGAACTACAGTATGCCTAGCAAGCACAAGCTCAAATTGATCCTTCTGCACTATGTGTCATCAGTCAACTGAAGACTGATGTTAATTCTTGACAATAGGGACAGCTAAGACTGAACAAGTGGACTGTGACAGGTTGCAAGGACATGGAGATGTTTAAGTGTCAAACATAATCATGTAGACTCACTTGTAGACTCTTGATTAGTAAACACCCCCCGTTTGGATGCACGGACTTGCGGACAGTCAGGTTTGACACGTGCGCCCACTCCCCCCCTTCCCAGGTTGTCTGGGGGGTAGGGCCAGGGGTGGGTGTGAACAGGGGATGACACCTCGCACTACTGAAATGGGAAACTAGGATGCTATGTACAAATCACTACGAAACTACGAATGCACAAAGCAGGAACGAATGCAGGCAAACGAAAGTAAAGAGTGCGAAGCATCATGCCTGTCAAGGAATTACGAGCAGGGTCCTTCAAGTTGCACTAAGGCAGCAATAACCCTTGCGGGCCTAAACAAACCATTTCAACAGGAGAACCAATTAAATGCATGTCTTTTTCTCTTCAAGAAACTAATTAGGGCCAGGATGTGTAGGTCTTTTTTCCGGAACATCATGCACCGAATGTACTGTGTAAATTTCTCACGCTTAGTAGGAGGGATCTCTGGCCAGTCTGGCCAGGGCGGTGCAATTGACGTCATCATTAACGGCAATGGCTGTACTTCATTGTGGAATGGTGGATTGTGGGGTATCTGCAGGATTAAGTTTTGATAAGTTTTGCATATAAAGGCATGTGTCCTGTGTGTTTGGGAGGACCGGACGCCGCGACACTCCTGCTTCATGATACCTCGAGAACCCCAGTCGTGTCAGGCTGGAGGCCCCTTGCTTTTTGTATGTCGGGATGATCTTCATTTTGGAAAAGGTTTGTATATGCTTTACAATCAAACGAAAGGTTTCGGAGAGTACTCGGAGAGATCTATGTTTGACTGGCTGGAGTTGGATCTTGGGATTATCATATTCTAAAGGGATGATGGTGTTCTGATCTTGTATGCGAACTGGAAGAAATCTGCCTGCCCAAAGCATGAACGACACCGAAAGTTCAGTCCATGAAATGCCCGGGTCGTTTCTGGAGGCAGTGAGTGTTTCTGACGGCCATTTAAGGAGGTTGCAGAAAGTCCATACTACCCCCCATTTGGATTGAACACCCCCTTCATAATCTTGATATGGGGTTCTGTAAATCAAGAGTCTACATTAACCTACCAAAGTCTTCCAGTCTGAGCTGCTTCTCCCAGTCTAAGTCGCCATGCCTCAATACTCGTTGCCCTGTGTGGGAGCCGCCCCCTCAGAGCTGGAGCTGTGAAATCGAAGGCGATTCAATAACCATGGGCGTTCCATCAGCACGTTCGCTCATGCAGCAAAATCCCCTCAGGCCGGATTCACTTGAAGCTAATTAATAGATCCTACCATTCATTTCTAGCTATGATTGCGATGTTTTGGCTTCCTTGTCCGTACATGTCGTCTCTTGAAGCTCAGGGAGAACAAACGTGTGATTTCACACCGCGCCATCCGACTCGTCCGATCTCCAAAGCAAACTGTTGGACTGTATGTAGCAATAGTTCAGCATGATGCATTGCGGATCATTGCGGTATACAGCTGTAGCAAACTTCTTCTTCTAGCATGTAGTGCTTCGAGGTTGGAGGCCATCGCTCTTAGGTTGGAGGCCATCGCCTCTAGGTCCTATAGGGCGGGGGGCCATCGCTCTTAGGTTGGAGGCCGTCGCTCTCATGTACTGTAGCTCTGTCCTGGATCTGTCTGAAGAAACTAAGGCCCGACTCTCAGGGTATATTGTGTCGTAGGCACCTGGCCGACGTGCCCAGTCTGCCATCGGCTGAGGCGGCGGTCGTCCGTCGATCGACAGAGTTGGTGCAACCTCAACTTCTGTGCACCATTCTTGTCATTTGAGCTGCACCATCGCTGTTGCTTGAAGAACTGAGCTTCATGCAAAGGCTGCTTCTGCCAGCAAAGGATCCGGGTTCAGTGGCCTGGTGTCGGCCAAGCTGAAGTTGCTCATCGAGTTCAGTGATGGAGCTCTGTCGAAACCTCTGATTCAACATCAAGAAAGAAACTAGGCGCCTTGGACTTTCAACAACACAGTCATCCATAATTACAATAAGTTCACGTGCGATTGTATTTTATGGACTCAATTGACAGAAAAAACTGGGTACTTGACCATACAAAATCTAGGCTTTTAGGTGACAACCCGTAGATGCACATCAACACAATGCAAACAAATCAACATTACCCACAGCAAGCATTTGACTTGAGAAAAAATGTATCTACAATAATTAATGAACAAAATATATATGGCATAATCCTGATATAGTATACATAATCCAAGCATAGTCCTGATCCCGGCAACATGGCCATGACGACACCAACTTCCACCACATTGTCCAGCACGCCGGCTTTCGCAGCGGCCACAAAATCTGTCTCCCGAAAAAGGCTAAACAAAAAAGCAGGGCAGGCACACCCCAGCTGCCGAAACTTCGGCAAATTGACACTGGCACCCAGGTGAATTCGGATGATGGCACCAGCCACCTCAGCGCAGTGGTCTGCTCCAGGGGTTGGCTCGAACGAAGCGCCACTACAGTCTGGAATCCGACCGCTTATTTTGAACGAAGCTTCACTACAGCCGCTACCTCTCAACAAGGCAAGGGTTGGTAAGGATTGAAAGAGGGACTGTACCTGGTTAGTCGACTAGCCATTTCATGTTGGGTCTTGTGGGACAAGCAAGGTTGCCAAGGTGCGTGTCTGTGTGTGTATGCGCGCGCATTCGTCTGGTATCCCTGGTTCCCAAATAGAAGTAGCAAACCCATAACAAGGACCTTTACCAGTTATAAGCATAGTCTTGCTTAGCCATGTACTGCCGAGCAGTCAACCGCTGAGAATGATGTCCTCTCATGACAATATATTAATAGCCGTTTGATCCTTTATGGCATCCAAACGTCACATCCAACGTCCAGGCTGAGTGCCGGACCAATCTGGAGACGTCCACAACTTTCAACCTTTTACGCTGGCCAATGAGCCTTCCTCTTGGATTGGGTTTTATGGACAGTCCTCTTCATGTGGGATACCTGATAGTGCAAGCAAAGACCTCCATTGCTCCCAGGTGGTGTGGAAGAGAAGGAGAGAGAGAGAGAGCTTCTGACAGCTCCAGCGTCCCATTCTGGATCTTGACTTCACCGTCTTCACCTCCTTTGCTCTGCTCCTGGGTCTTTTCCAAACAACTCCCCAATCCATCGGCCTGTCTCCAATGCCCAGCTTCTCAAACTTCTGCAAAGGCCTCGGCCAAAGAAGGCTTGAATCAACATGGCACCAAAACAGTAGATTTCGGAACTTCTATGCTCTTCTTGAGATGGTTTCTTCCCCCAATCTCATCCGTGAAACACTCTCCAGACTGCAGTGGGAAAGGCATCTGCATTTTTGAAAGGGTTTGCCACCCGCTTGGCTCAGGACATTCGTTGAGATATGCAGTTGGTCACTGCGATCCACTGGCGAACGAACGGTTCAATGCGGAGACGAAAAGCAGAAAAAAATACTATATACGTAATAAAAACAATAGCAAAACATATCAATATTTGTTGCACCAATAAATCAACCAATTAATTTTCTGGCGAACTATATATAATAACAGTAACACAAACCAATAAAGTATGAACATAGTATGTCACAAACAATTGAACCAACACATGAACCATCAATGGAACCAACCATTGAAGTTGATATGTTTTGCAATTCTTACCTTTGTTATAGAGCGACCCAACATATGCATTTATCTTTCAACAAAGCAAGCTACAACCTGAGATTGTTCACAAAACAACCCTCGCCTCTAGTCCAAGATCAGCAATCATCTTGGCCACACGCTCCGAGGCATCCTGAAAAAGAGTTGCCACTCAGTAGCTGCAACAACCCTTACCGCCAAACAACATGGTTCGAAAGTCTTCTTGTCGACTGAATGGGCGTCTGTTGATTTCTGACCACAGTGAGGTGAAGAACTTCCCAGCAACATGCAAAACATAGTTCTCTTTCCTGCCGTCCGCGCCCCTGTGACCGCTCATCGTTTAATTCACAGATTGGCTTGGACAAAGAACAACGTCTGAGAGTAGGTTTCGACTGAGCTGGTTTGAATTGAGACTCCCAGCCTATGGATTGTTATCTTTTCTAGACTGTTCCATACTTGTCCTATTCCATGGATCTGTCAGGAGTCCCTGCATTTGTATGAGACGCAAACAATAACATACCTGGACATACCTTGTAGTATATCTAATATATACATATATATATATTATATTCTATACATTTCTATACTATACATGTCATTGGTCCTGTCTCTGTCGTTCGCACCAGTCTTGCCTTGGAAAAATAGCCATGCGTGCCGACTGCGTAGAGCTTGGCCTTCGACTCCGGTTCACATTGTCTAAGGGAAGGTTCAAAGATCTTCCAGAGCCGTTGGGAAACACAAGCCTGTGACAGTTACAAAATGAAGAAGAAGAAGAAGAAGACACTGATGACGATTAAACCCCGAACCAAAGGAACCTTTGGTTCCACGTTCTGCAGACCCAGTGCCTCAATCGGACAAAAAAGGCCCTTTGGCTGCATCGATGCCTCTGGCGCGAAGGTCCGAACTGCCTCCACCACTTTCACCAAGCTGCCGCAGGTGTCGAACCTGCGACCGTGGCCCATGGCCGGCTCGATGGCCCGAAACCCGTTGACTTGGTCGCCTTTGCGTTACATGTTGCTGGCCTGGTTCTGGTTCTGTCCCCTTTTTCTGGATGATTGCAGAAATGACGTAAACCCAAAGACCAGCCAAGATGTATATCTTCGGCAGGGTGTTTGATTTGAGAAACATGTAATGACAAAATGATTCATCATGATTGATCGATTGGAGCTTCCTTGGCTTCGCGTCAATGGTTCTTGTTTCGGGTGTAAAGGGCTATGGATTGCCGGTCATTGCAAGGATTGGCGTGCTATTCCTCTATCTAAGATCCAATTTCTTTCTGACAAGGAGACAAAATGTGCGCCTAAACCTTGCTCTTCAATCAAAGCCTCGCCCAGCTGGTGCCCCCAAGCTAGAGTTCAACAGTTCCCTCTCCTTTGCGTCGTCTGAGTGTCCGGACATGTCATCAACGATTATGACATTGGAGGGGTTTAAAGAGGCGTCGGAGATGATCTTCACCTTTCGTCACGATTCTCTGGGGTGGCGATCTTCACTCGAGAAGTCTGGGATTTGATCTTTTGAGACCCTTCACATCGAAGGTGAGGAAAAACGACCTGACTCGATTGTCTCTGGTGTGTATGGTGAGCTTGGGTACTTGGTCGCCACGACCTTTGCAAAACCGACACTGTGACCGACAGTGCCTGCTGCAGCGGAATACACGGCAAAAAAACATGTCTCATATACCACTACTATTACCAGTACCCCCAACATCAAACCATGTTGTGCCTCAGTATGTTGAACTTCTGGTACCAGTAGGTTGCACAAATGCTGTTCTCGTGTCCAAGAAAACACATGTACAAACCGCGCAAAGAAAACTATGTTTCAACACATGCATGATCACCTTTATTGCCAGCACCAGCAGTATCTCAAACACTAAAGCAATGCCGCTAAAGGGATTCGGCTCAGCATCTATGCCGAATCTATGCAAATCTACAGTAAGTCTTTGGGAGTGCCACCCGGCAGTTGCAGATCCGGTGTTAAGATCAGATTTTCGCTATCGACTCTATCGAAATCCTACTATCAAACCTCTTCTCACATCCCCATGACAATTGCATGCTTTATGTCTTCATCGCAATATATGAGACAAACAGTGAGACAAACCACACAATGGCGGCCCAGCATACCAACAACAAGGCAAACACCTCTTTTCATACCAACAACAAGCCTGTCCAACTTCTCCAGCTTTGGGTCTGAACTTGTCTGCCATCATGAAGCCAACCTGGCGACGGCCAAGCACTTGTGAGATGGAACCCTTCAGCGGCCACATGTTTCTGGTGGCGCAAGCGGCGAGCAAACAATATGCAACCTCCGGGTCCGCCTGGTGAATTATGATTCAACATGTTTGAACATTCCCTTCAGTCGGCATTGCTTTTGATTGTAATAAACTTTGTGGCAAGCCTTATGTTTCTGGCCGCAGTCATCTGTCTAGCATAAGTGCAGAAGGATCTTCTTTAAAGATAAAATACGGTGTACATGTGTACTGATGTGTACTGTATAATTACTCCTATTTGTTTTAAGTATATGCACATTATGCACATCGATAACCATATATGAACATATAATTCATGTTGCATATTATAATGCACACCAAAGAGACCAAAGCAACATCATGCAAGAACTGCACAAAGAACCCTTGAACAACTTGCAGCAAGCAACTTGTCAGTTCTGCATTTGTGGGGTGCCTGAAGCTCATCAGCCATTTTGCGAGTGCGCTTGGCTCCCCCGGCGTCGGTGGCACACACCAAAGTCTCCTGACGGCTCGGTTCTTTTTCACGGCAGCGCACTGGTGACGGACCTTCCAGTCTCATGTCCTTCTCGTCTGCACCATATTAAACATCAACCAGAAGTCTGAACAAGCTATCACAATCTCAAAGGAATACTTTTAATCTGAATGCACACGACCCTTCCTTATGCATGTTTTCTGGCCTAAAGAATGTCGCTGTTTGACTTGTGAGTGTGCCCTTGGGAAGTGGCACCACTAAACAACTTGTTAGAAACAATATCAAAGGGCCAACAACACTTTCAGGCAAACAAACTTCAATGTGCTGCACACTGCATCAAAACTGCATGGTACAATGGGTTTGCTGGGATTTGTCAACCTGCGTAGAATAAACGCAATGAACACAAAACACAACAACTCTCATGGACAAGGCTTGATAACTAATTTGTTTCAACTGTGTTGCTCCGGAAGGGAAGAAACCATTTGCCCAATACTGTACTGCATACAATTTGCAAGTCAAAATGCGTGAATTGCTCGGTGTCAAGAAATTTGCATGTGTTCAATGATTGGTAGCTCCTCCGGTTTGAAATTGGGAATCATGTCGCGGATGAACGCTGCAAGGTATTTCCTGAGCACACAACCAACTACAAGCTGCAAATATGTCTAGGTCGCCACGGGAAGAAGAGTACCTACGAATGAAACCGGAAGGCAACAACAATAGAAACTTAGGGGTCTAAACTAGATACCGGAGATTAGAGCAACATAGATCTGCGACAACTGGTTTTGATCCAACGCCGGCGCCGGACAATACCAATTGACTTCCCTGAAAGAAAAACGCTTAGCGCCCTGACTCACAGGTCAGTTCGTCTAAGGCCGCTTGCGCCGGGCTGAAACCCACTTCCGCCTGGAAACGAAAGGGATTATGGCCATGCGAAGGCTGTTTCTTCCATGTGCTTAGTGCTTACTTCAGCATAGATATATACATTCAGAATATTCAATCGTGCATAATGCTACAGGCAGGGAGATGTTGGAATACTGAATTTGCTTATTTTGATGGTAAATCCAAGGCAATTTGGCAGGACCTGCACTTTTCGTCACCTTTCGCCAGGTTCCAAGAACTTATATAACAAATGCTGGTGGAATTTTGACCAAAATTTGTTGAGCACCCAAGAAGAAACACGCCCTGTGCCCTGTGCCTGACATGGGGAAACAAAACAATTTCAAAAAACATTTGGTTTGGTAGATTTGGCACACTCCAACTAGGATTCAGGATGGACTAGGCTACAAGGGATCGTAAATGCATGAGATCCTTTGGCTACTAGTAGTTCTAAAGAGATCTAAAGAGTTCACTTCCGATGACTTCAACTCTCTTGTGATTTCCTCCTATTCCTTTCTATTGATCAACACATGTGTTTGTGACAGTCAGTTGTGACACGTGTGCAGCACCTGGTTGTGCAGGTCGATGGTCACAAAGCGATCCGCACCCGCCGTAGCCATCAAGTGAAGCCTTGGTCTGGGAGCGCGAACCCTCCTTGTTGTGTCCCTCTCTGGTGGAGTGAGCAAGTTGAGCAAGTGGTTGGTTGAGATGTCAAGCACTTTTGAAACCATGGCTAATCGATGTGTTGTTTTGTTCTATATTTTGGGCTGCGCACTTGGAGGATCCGCTGTTCAGGCGGGTGTCAAGGTCTTTTTGTTGGAGCAAGTGGCTTCAAAGGCGCCTCTGGTTCAGGCCCTGAGCAGGATCCCAATATATAGTCAAGAGCACAACGGTCGATGGAGGCCAAGCCAAATTCTTAAAAAGTCAGTGTGGCCAGTTTTTTTCTAAGGTAGAACCCCAACAGTAAACTGTTTGGGGACCAATTGATTTGAAGATTGCCAATCCCTCTTGCTTCGTGCCAATGCCAACACAGTAGGTTACCACCAGCTGTTCCATTTGGCCAACCAGTTCCAAGCATCACCGGATCGCGAAAATCTCCGGCCTCACTGGCCCGCAGAAAAATCTGTGGCCCGAACAGCAGCTTGGGCGCGATGGCCTCACCGGCCTCAAACTTTCGGTCCTCAACGTGGAAGATTAGACGAAACAAGTTTTTGAGAGGGGGCTTGAGGGAGATGAACATGGATCAGATCATGTACTATGTATATACTACTGTATATCCTACTTATACTACTACTTATTATGCACATGCTTTTTGGGCAATACAACAATACAGTACAGAATAATGTCATGTAGACATGTTTTTGGCTTTCTCTCTCTCTCTCTCTCTTTCTGTAGGGAACAGGTGCTACATGAAGCATGTCAGGATGCTGCTTCATGTGATCTCCTGTGATTCCTTCGAACAACAAGTCAAATGTCACATATTCTCAATTTGACGATCCAACCATTTGCCAACGCTAGCTCTTGGGATTCGCCATGAGTCAAGCACCCTGCTCCTGCCGTGAGTACTCCACACATGGCAACACCTGCAGAAACGCGGATGCGAGAAACGCGGACTCAGTCAATGACCTTTGAGAGTCAGTATGAAGCCACAAATCGATTGCATCGAATCAGCAGTGGCACAGTTAATTACTGGACATGGTTCCATCTGGTTCCATATGGTTCAAGGCTTCTCTTCATGGATTGGTCTCCCATCGGGGCCCTGATTTCACATGGTCTAAAGACCAAAAACCTCCGCTTTCGCTTTCGTGCCGGTCCCACCGCACCCGACTCGACTCCCGCAAACACCGCGCGACCGTGAACCACGCGCCACGCGCCGTGCCGAGCGCTTTCGGCGGCCCAAGGGACCACGGTGATGCGATGCGGCGACTCGGACTTCAGCGCATCCAGCATGATGAGCAACTGGAGGTGGCGAAGAAGGCATGGACGGCGAGGAGGGCAGAGGGCATCGGGTCGACGGACGGATGCGCGGCAAGGGATGTCGATAGCATCGGGGACATGAAGATCGAGACATGCAGAGTTTGCATGGGGAGACAGAGACATGGAAAATCATGGAAAGATGGGGTGGATGGATGTGCAATGCTGTGCTTGATTGAACGGAAAGCATCAGGGACTTCATTCCTCCAAATTTGTTTTTGACAATTCAATTCAAGACTGAGAAGAAAGACAAGGCTGGGCTATCCCTGGGACCGCAACCACTTCCAGATCTTGCACCTGCATAAGCATGAAGTTGATCTCACACTCGAAGTCGTCACGAGCACACACCTCATTTGAGCACAGCGTTCAGTCTTCGGTCTGTCAGTCATCTTCATTTATTATGCAGGGCAACGACTCATCCCAAAGCAAATCCAAAAACAGGACACACACACACACTTATGGATATGCGTACTGACATTACAAATGGATCCCTGTGATTACAAGGGGCACACACACACACATCCAAAACCTGCCTTTCCAATGCTCTTCTCAAAAACGACTTTCCCCCCAGCTTGGTGTGCCACCCAAATCGCATGGCAGCATGGTTCCGGATCGCTTCCAATGAGCTGGTCAGTCAAAACCGCCAACGTGTCACGTCCATTCGTCTCACCAGAATCCCCCATGTCTCAACAGAGCTAATCCGGGTTCCCAACCCAAGAATTTACGCGCAAAGGAACAAAGGACCACTGGGCTTTTGTAGAATGATTTGGCACAAAACCATTGACGCAACATGACACAATAGTATCATATTAGAACATATTGTTTGAAAATATAACATGTACATACAAGTACCATCCATCTCTGTATACCGACCACCAACTTTAACAACTGCGATCACACAAACAGCATCTAGCAGCATCAAGCTCAGCCCAGCAATTACGGCTAATTATGCATAATTGTTATAATTATACTCGGCTTTAAGAGCAGACGGATAGTAAGTAGCTACTATGACGGATAGGATATGATAGAATAGTACGGCTACACAGCCCAGTAGACGTCTTCGTAGCAGGCTTGGCTTGACAAAGCCAACTGCTATGACGCTCTCTTAGTTCTTCGTCCACCACCGAGCTGCTACGAAGACATCATAGTTCGAGACGGATTGCTCCAGCTTCACCGAGATCTCCCCGTTGGCGAAGGTCCGGAAGCGCGCCTGGCGAACCCCACGGTCGGCACTGGAGGTGAGGGCGGATTGCTCCGGGCCGGTCGTCACCGGATCTGGCCAGGGTTCCAAAAAACCCATGGTGCGTTTTGTGTGTCCAAAATCCAACAAGAAAAAACACGTGGAAGATGGATCAGTATCACTCAGTCCTCTTAAGTCTTGTCACATGGAAAGAACACATTGCGTGTAAAGCGTAGAGGAAGAGAGTTGGATTCGACTTGCCATTTCAGCCGCTGGACTCACGAGCGGATTGAGCTGTTCCAAGTTGCTTCTCTTGTCACAATGGCTTGCCATCAAATGAAAACTGTCTGCTTGTACAAGTTTGCTCATTGGATGAAAGCCGTCTGATTTCTGCTGATGCTCTGTTTCTATCTGAACATCCTGGTAGTGCCATGACCCACGCGATACCCGACGTGGTAGTCCAGCGCAGGGAGGTGCCAGGGTTTAGGGCGGCGGTTGTATGCCAAACACATAGTCACATAGCCATTGTGGGCGTCTGAGACGAGGATCCGATCGTCTGAGTGTCAAAGCCAATGCCACTCGTTTCGTCTCGGTGTAGGTCAAAGAATCTGTCAGAAAATACCTTCTCAAGTGGTCAGACCTGGTCCTTGGGGTATGGGGTGCCCAGAACACCCCTCATTGGGTAGGTGTCCGAAAACCATCCCGACATCATGATGGAAGCATTCATATGAACTTGGTTGCCACAAACATATAATGCCCGCCATTGCCCGCCACAGCACCCATCACAGCTGCCTTGCCAATGCTCCAGCTCAAGTGTGCCACGATCTTCTCACAGAGATCCCTGCGCGATTATTACCCGAGGGATCCTTGCTGCGGTTGCCCGACTGTTGGCCACGTTGATCGGTTTTTTGTTCCACTTGTGACTACCGAGCTCGCCAAAACGAGCTGACAATTTACCAACATGTCCATGCAGTCAATGAATTCCCATGGAGGACATATGTGTTTCCATGTTTTGTTCCGTTTTTGTTTCATGTTTGCACTCGGTCAGTGATCCAGCCTGTTTCCTGGAGTGCAAAAGACCACTGGAGGATGACCCACCTGACTGGAGACTTGTCTGGCCGTCGGACTAATTGGTCAAACCTTTTCCCAAAGAAGGCCCAGGTTGGAAACATGCAAGGCAGGCTGGAACATGCACACCAGCCATGGATGTGTTAGGTTGGAGCGAAAGTGATGAACTGGATTGATGATCTGTTTCTTCTGGTTGTTTGCTTCCCAAGGCCATGTGGAATGAAAGCCCCTGTTCGGTGTGCGAAAAGCTGGGCCAATGGAGGCACAACCGAAACATCAGCTAGACTTTGTCCATCGCCCTAGCTTCCTACCCAAAAGCGCTGTCTTCTCTTTACTCATCAAAGAAGAGTGGTGTGATGTGGGTAGAAGATCCACGATAATCTTTCTCTTGGCGCTGATTGCCTTGAAGATTGCAGGCTTCTTGCTCGTCAATTCCTGTTTGGCAGCTTTGCACCTATTGCCATGGTGTCTTCCTTTTCTGTGGCAGGGCCAGAACGAACGGCGCAAGGTGTGCATCGTGCAAAGGAACGGAACGGAACCGAGCGACAAATGAACGAGAACACCGTGACATCCGTAAGCCCGGGTTATCTCCACGGTAGCGCCATACTGAAACCAGGAAGGCTCCCATCATCTCATGTAATGGACAAAATATGAAAAAATCAACACCAGCAGCTGTTTGCCTAGCTTGTGAGGTGACAAGCTAGGCGTAGTGCAATCAACAAAGGACGAGTCATGAATTGCACAGGCGAGGGTCTCCGACGATCGTGGTGGTCATGTGGGTCATGTGGACTTCTTCCGGAGACTGGAGACGAATGCAAGTCACTGTGGGCTGATCCCAATTCTGCATTCCCTGATATTCCCTTTCTCCATCAGGAGATATTCCAAATATAGCTAATTGCCGGGATTCTCTTCCAATAAAAATATGATCTACAGTCACATGCCTCCCCCCCCGCCCGTCGATTCTTTTCGTCTGTGGCTCGGGCCGGTGCAAGAAACGCCTTCGCCCAGCACGCGTGCTGGGCCGTGGCCCAGGCGGCAAAGACGGTCTTCACGGCTTTTTGGGGCCTCATCCGCCTGCTACTGGTTCAGCCAGACACACTCTTGGGAATTCAATGGGTCTGGCCAGTCTGAATCGAAGCTTGTCCTTTTGAAGAGCACCATGATGCCTTGAGGTTCTCAAGGTCCTTGTGAATCCTCCAATGCTTCAATTCCCTGGGGGTTGAATTCTGGTGAAGTCGAACCAGACTGAGAAGAACTCATTGGGAACTCCAAGAACGCCTTAGTTTTGCGGCTATTGCTGTCGGCTTCCCCCCCACTTCCCGAAGCTCGTCTTCCACTCAAACGAACACTCAAATTAGTGTTAGGAAAAGGGGTCCCTCATTGGGAGACCAGCTGAAGCAATTTGATATGATTTGATCAATCCTGTGACAGGTCGTTTTGATACATGACCCCCAAATATACTTGGTACAAATGAGTACATAGTATAGATAGAAAAGCAAATCCCCTTAAAAATGTATTGGACACCATTTCTATCTATTTGGGTATCACTATATATTTTCCTATGCGAGCCATACTATGCCTATGCGGCTTTCTGGAAAACACATGCACCTGTTTTGGACAAGCATGGAGGAGCCATAGCCAGCCACTGGTCTTCACCGGGAAACTGATTCCACAAAGGTGAACCCCTTTCGTTGGCATCTTGTTAGGCTTCAATACAGTACAGGTTGGGTTGAGCACACCCTCTTGTGAAATTCTGGCAGTTAAACAATAATAAATATATATATATATATATCACAACCCAAACTACCTGTATGCAAAAGCATCCAACAGTGTCCCTACTGCAGTTCCTCTGATCTTCACTTATCCAAACGAGCTGGCCTCACGAGTCTATATTGCTATCTATTACTTCATCTTGGTGCCCACGGGTCCCAGTAGCATCTGAGCAAGCATCTTGTGCTGCAAGTCACCACAGAAGACAGCGAAAGCACTAGCGAAAGCCAGTGTTAGTTGGGGAAAGCCACTCTGGTGCGAGTTTGAGGCTGCCGCGTATTCCACGCACTACAGCAGCGCACGACAGCAGTGACAAACCCCTCCTCTTGGGCACGTGGCACCATATAATAGAAACATATAGAAACGATCAGCAAATATCAGCAAATGCCTTTTTTGTTGCAGTATCCTTCTGTAGATGCTTCCCAAAACAGAATGCAAAGGGAACAACCGCCGGAGTAATTATGTGCCCCCGTGCCTCCCCCACATGTGCCCTATTGCCAGGAAGGCAACAATGGAAACATATGGGACACGGGAGGTTGATTTAGTTCAGCTGACCAACACTCCAAGCGCACCAGTACCCCAGAGTCAACTCACACTGGCACTGGGAAAAGAGTTGCTGGCACTGGAGAGGCACCAGCTGTCCCAGATCTGCATAACTAGTGATTCTTGGAGATCTGGACTTGCATATTTCACCGCTGGGTCCCTCCCAAATGTTGGCAGCAAGAAAACTTCGGCCACACGCGATGTTTCGTCAACAAAGCGGAAAAAATCCCCTCTGACCATCTGCACTTTCTGAGCAGGAAATACGGGAGCCTCTAATAATCAAAGGAATCAACCACCGCCGTCCTATTCAAATATAAATATATATATATGCTGTTCTTTGCCTCTCACCGCTCACCATTGAAACATGTTGAAGGGTATCCTATTCGAGTCTCCTTTCCAACGCATCCCCATGCCATGAAACTCAGGCTACTCTGCAATTCCAACAAATGGAAGAAGCTTCACATCGAATCCGCTCAGAGTGGGGTCAAAGGGAATCGCACGACGCAGCATGTGCTCTCCCGAAACGGCACAGTGCCCGCCATTGAACTGCCAGATCTGCCCAGGAGCGACCACTTCGACCGGACTTTGGGACAGTTCCGAGGATTTCCAGAGGCGAGTTAGTGGGCCCAGGCACTTCCTCTCGAATCGATCGTGTCCTGAACAATCCAGCAGTTCGGCACTAAGCATCGAGCTTTGTGGCATAAATCCATCAGCACCTCTAAGTGTCCAAAGACCTCGCTTCAAAGGCAAATTGCCAGCTTGCAATATTTTGCCAAAGAACCAAACCATCTGGAACATGCTTCTTGCTGCTGCTGGTTGAAGTACACTTCAAAAGGGGTGTGCCTGAGCTCCCATAGTCCTCTTTTCTTTCTCGGGTTCTCAGTTCTCAGAGACATACCTAACCATTGCATGAACACAAAAGTCCAATTTACCCAGACTCGACATTCCACAAACAATGTTTGAGTACCCATGGCCCTTATCTCAATCTCTTGTATCACAAAAGAAGGGTGTTTCAGTGTCACTCACACCCTGGTTTTGGCAAAACAGAAACTTTGGCAACACACAACTCATCACAACTCCTTTGCGCACACACACACACACAAAACACGGCAGCACATGAGACTGTTTGACACCATCCCACTGGCATCTTCTTCGGTGCGATGGACGAACGCGTGTGCCCATTCCTACGACAAAGGCACGGTCAAGTGAATCCGTACCACAGATCCACCATTAGACCACGCATTTCTCAAATTCTTGTCACTTCAACTAAGCCAGGTAGAACTTCCTGTGAAGCCAAAATAAAGGAAAGGCACAAGCACTTCGACATGAGGTTGCATCCAATTCATTGGCGACCCAATGGTGGACCCGTACCACAGGTCCCAGCCGGGCCAGGCTGTCTTTTTGTTTTTTCGCCCGGCTTTCCCATGGGCTGACAGCATTTTTCACACGCTGAGGGGTGGCTCTAAATAGCCATGAACTTGTACCGCTGGGCACGGCAGTTGCAGTGATATGTTGCATAATCGAGACAATCCTGGTCCCAAAACTCAATGAATGCAAAGAGGAAAGATGTTAGAAGAACAAATAGCCTGCCAACGTGAAGCTGTGACGTTCATGTGCCGCGCTTGTCAGAAAAAAGAACTTTGATCAAGTCGACTTGGGCGTTAAAAATCCAGTGCCCAAGCTGTGCAAATCCATTTCGCAACAGATTGACCTAGCACTTTTGCTGCAAGCAGCTAGGTTCAACTTGGTGTACTGCCCATTGGTTTGCTTCCTGATTCTGGTTTACGCTGCTTTCATTCAACGAAGGAAGTTCTTGGCTTCCAAGCAGCTATTGAAATCATAGCTAAGGAAGGCCATGACATGTGTATCCATTGCGACAAACATATAAATGACGTATGACTGAATATGTTGGAAACTTGTGACTGCACATCGGTGCACTTGCCTGCGCTCAGTGCTGGAAGAGGAATCGCAGGTCCTTGCAACTGCATGCAAGGACAGAAATTCCTCTCACATACCGGCAAGTCTTGATTGGACAGGCCAGTTACAAAAAATGTCATAGACAAAAGCTCAGAGCACATTGGGCCTATTTGGAAGTGGAAAACATGCATGCAAATTATATTGTAGTTATTTATTCTATAAACATTGTTAAACAATGTTAAACATAAGTGCAAAGTATGAATGCCCCACCAAAACCAATCAATCCCATCAAAGCCCCTGTGGCTTTCTCCTGCTCAGTGAGCTTTCCCAAGGATGTGCTTGATCCATCAATGGAGGCATCGAAGACCAGCTGCTTCTTCTCCTGCGATTGGAACAATCGCCCCGATGAGCCACAAGAGTGTCCATTCAGAGAGTTGTGGCCTTTAACATCCCAAGGCCTGCATGGCAGCCAAAGGAGAATTGAACTCTAGTTGGCAGTCTTTACGCAATTTAGAACCTAAAGCCTAGCCATGCCTAGCCTATAGCTTTAAAGCAACTTGCTCAAGCTGAGACCCGTGGAATCTAGCCGACCAAAGTTGATGAACATGAAAAACCAGCAACTGGCCGAAGGCTCCTGCATCTAACCTCTGAAGGCAGCGATTGCTCATGGGTTTCTCGCTTTGTGGCATTCCCCGAAGATGGATTCGAACAAAAACATGCTGGAGAAAAATAGACCATAACTCATCAAACACCTCCAAAAGCAGAAACGCCAGGCTTCAAGCGTGTTACAAATAGCTACACATAAGCAACTACTCCCATGAACACTCTTTGGGAGCGAGGTCAGTCCGTTTCTATCCACCAGTCCTGGTCCCAAGAGAATCTCAAGCTACAGGACTTGTCAGGTCTCTTCTCATGAAGTTCTCCCGACTCTTCCAACAAGTCCTGAAGTTTGATGATCTTCTCCTCGATTGTATCTGCGCTGATGAATCTGACTGCCTCGCAGAGACCATCATGCAGTCCATCTATGGTCTCTGCAAAATGCAACATCAGGTTGCCCACCGATCGCAACATCTCACAGCGCCTGCTTACACCGAATCCCTATTATTGATGCCACCCGTCACCGGAACCCATCACCCTAAACCCAGCCCGAAGCAGTTTTCCGCTTCACTCACCGCGCTTCACTCACCGCGCTTCACTCACCTCCATCCGAGCTCCGCACCTCACTCACCTTCACTCAGCCCCACCGGTTTCACAACGCGCCACCGTTTCGCGCAGCAGTGACTCACCGATCTTCACCTATGTTCCCCAACAAACCCTAGTCACTATAGGGCCTAGTCTCTGGCATTAGAAGAACAAACTTCCACTAGCAAGATGCTCAATGCAAGCTCGCTTCTTACTTCTTTGGGGCCCTTTTTGATTAAAACATTATAAAACAAAAACTAAAAGAAACACTTTTCGGAGCCCTTCCGAGCCCTTCCGAGCCCTTCCTTCCTTCCTTCCTTGGTGCTCACCCACCTCACCCGCACCGCACCCGCACCGCACGCGACGCGCGCCTTCACCGGCCGGGTCTGTCCGATCCGATGGGCCCGTTGGATCGCCTGAAAGGAGGGGACCGCCACCCTTCCATCGTTCCTTTGGAAGCCACGAAAAAAGGGGCTTTAGGCTTTTGGTCTGTTTTTTTGATTGTTTTTGATTGTTTTTGGTGTATTTTGGGGATGTGTTTGTGTGTTTTTGGTGTTTCGTTCCTTGCAGTACACAAAAAAAAACTTTGTGACATGTGGGTTACCTAGAGGTGTACCGTAAACCTGACTTGTCTCTGCCATGTGATGGCTCCGTTGATCGTCTGTTGACTAGGGATGACGAGAGAAACCGCACAACAATGGACTGATCGTTTTACGGGCAGGTTGACAGCCGTCACTGACCCATGGCAATGTCGTTGCCTGTCTTCGAGGCCTGAACATGACGAAACGAAAGACATCTGCGGGGGCAATGGTATGTTGATTTGGCAATAATTTTGACAAGCCTTGCTAGTACAAACACCTTGACGTGAAACAACACAGCTTGATTTGGCATCCTTGAATTCAAGCTATGCAGGCAACATACAATATGTATCACATTACTCATATAATATATATAGTAATATAAATTCCACACCCGTTGCATAATACCTTATCTCTGAAATCGATACCAGCAAACAGGAGTCGCTACCACTGATGTTGCTTCGTCAAGAGTCATCCGCAAACTCCCCACGGACCAAACCGCAGCTCCCTCGAAAAGAACGCGGGAAAAACACCCAAGCCTGCATTTCACAAGCGGGATTCCACCAAGGATCCAGCAGGAACACGTGATTGGCCACCTGTGCGCACCGTGATTCTTCCATGTTGACGAATTTATGTTTTATGGCAAATGGACAACAAACATGGACCATGGGGGCTTTTGTTGAATCAGGATCTCGTCAACATGACACAAGATTCGTGGACTCACACAAAACAAGCACCTGACTGACCTTCGTACATCTATGTCAAACTATGATGTAAACGACATTCATCGCTTCCAGCGACACCGTAGACCTGAAAAACCATGTTTCAGGGGCAGGGTTCCGCCTCCGCAGCAACTTCCTTGTCGACCATATTCCAAATACCAGAAAGGTGGTGCCATGCGCTGCCATGAATATTTCAGGGAATGTAATAACCATTTGGATTGTAAAGACTCTTCATATGAAGGGTCTTAATTCATCAAGAGTCTACAATTAGATGGGTCAAACATCGCCCAAATCAGGGGCATTTTGTCTATAAGGTGCTTTGGGCATCATGCTTCGCTTTAAAGTGCTCTCCAACAACCTGAGTCGCGAAGGGCGGTCAACTCATGTCAATTAGGCGTCTACGCAGTCATGAGGCGAATTTCCATGGATTGAACTCAACTTGCACATGTGGTACCAGACATTGATGCCCGAAACAATGACGTGTCTTCTCAACTTGCCAACAAGGAACTATAAGCTGCAACATCCATAAATATAATTAATTACCTTGAATCACCATGAATTTGCTGCACCGGACACTTCCCGAAATGCAAACGCACACGCAACATGCTGCTTCAACGCCCTTTCCAAAGAAATGGCCCTATGTCGTCTTGCGTCTGACACGCAAACTCCGCTCCGCTCGTTCCGGAAGACGCCAAACGCGCTCGTTCCGCGTAATGAAATACTGTTCTTGGCGCTCGCTCGTGGCCTGGAGGTTGAGACCCTCGCCGCCCGCTTTCAGGGAGATGAGAATCACCTCTCTCCGTGGAGCCCGAGGGAACCCGGGCCTTTTTTTTACATGGGGTGTCCCATCATGTTGTGTGTCCTGACCGGTGAGTCACAATGAAGAGCAGTTGAAAACACTGCAGGTTTCGTCTGTGACCTGGAGGGGATTAAATTCGTTTTGCTGCGCCAAAATGAAATTGGTCTGAAGTTTGAACTGGTGGAATTCATCATCATTTGGAAGGAATTCATCAAGTCCAAGATCATATCTACCGGGAAATGCCGCAATAATCCGCCGTAATCATTACCCAGATGTTTTGAGCAACTGTAAACCAATCACGACATGTTTAGGACACAAAATCATTCAGGTGATTTGAAAATGGTGTGGGACAACTCGAGAAACTCGCTGTCCTCGATGATGGGTGGCGGCCAATCCAAAATTTTGAGACTGGGTTACAAGTCTTAGTGCACATGGTCTCAAAATGTTTGCCCCCCACGGTGATTTTGGGTTGATCAAGTTGATCATTCAGATCTTATTGATGGCCCTCAGCTGTTCGAGAAAACAATCTTCAGACTGCAGCAGGTTGGAGCCATGGGTTCCTTGTCAGGGTGTGATGTGCCTGATTTGTTCATCTTTTGTTTCGTCTAGATTGTCATTCCGGCCTCACAAGCTCTGCCAGGCTTGTCAGAATCCTCCACGCCGCCCAGTACTGCAGAATTATCCCGGCAAGAGACCCCAAACAGTGTGTTTGAGGTCTAGAGTCCAGGGGTTCAGAGAGGTGATGGTGGTGATGAAGGTGGAGATCGTGGTGACGAAGGTGGAGATCATGGTGGTGGTGATGGTGGTGGGTGGTGATGGTGGTGGATGGGGGCTCGTCAGCTGGGAAAAGTCCACAAAGTACTGCGCCTGCCACGGAATCTGCACTTCAAGGTTCACAAAGTACTGCGTCTGCCACGAACTTTGCACTTCAAGGTCCGCAAAATACTGCAGCTGCCACGAAATCTGCACTTCAAGGTCCACAAAGTACTGCGCCTGCCACGAAATTTGCATTTCCAGGTCCACAAAGTACCACGAATCTGCACTTTAAGGTCCACAAAGTGTTGCGCCTGCCACGGAATTGGCACTTCAAGATCCACAAAGCACTCCGGCTGCCATGAAATCTGCACTTCAAGGACCTGCGACGAAATCTGCACTTCAAGGTCGACAAAAATTTTTGCACCTGCCACGATTTCTGATGTCCAAAAGATTCCAAAAGTCACGATTCACTGCACCTGCCACATCAGAGCACGCCGAAGACCACCACCATGTCCAAAGTACTCAAAGTACTGCGCCTGCCACAAAGTCTGTCAAACTGCTCCGATCCTGCACGAAGTCGACTTTATCATGAAAAGTGATCACCAAGTCCAAAGCTGCTCACGGCACCACAACGAGAGCGCACCTCCGTCAAGCACCGTCCCGCGGCCAGCGTTTCACACGACCCTGCGCAGAGAAATTGCATTTGAAGATCTCAGAACGGATCTTTTCTGCGAGCCTGCGCAGCCAAAACGCACGCGCTCAGAGAGCGTACCCTGATCGAACCCGGGCTTTTACACTAAGAACCCCTCAGTGTGGACACACTGTTTGAAGGAACAACATGAAAAAAACAATGGACAACATGTTCTTTAACACCCTATTTCAGTACACTCTGAATCACCAAGATGGACTGCTAGAGCCTCATTTCTCCTGGGCACTTTCCAAACGCTCCAAGTGGCCATTGGATACTCCGTTCCATGTTGGTCAGGCTGTGTTTTAGCCCAACCGCCAGGCCCTGGATGCCCCAGACTGTGCCTTCAGGGTGGGATCTTCATTGAAGGCGGCCAGGGCATCATCCCGCGCCTGCGAGAGTTCTTCGCGACGGAGCTGGGGAGCTGCTTGGGAGCTGTTGGGGAGCTAGAAAAGGCAGTGTCTACAAAGTGAATGAAAGTGTCTCCCTGTACATGTCCTATGACACATTTGGTGTGTATATATATATATATGTGTATTGAAAGTAGGGAGACAGAATCCCATGTCGACATAGGGGCGGTCGATGTTTCCGATGTCCTCGATGTCTATTCGAGGTTGGTTGGTTGGTTGGTTGGTTGGTTGGTTGGTTGGTTGCTTGGTTTCCTCTTTCCAAACATTCCCACTGCGGGGGTCTCCCTATCTTCATTACACACCAAGAACATTGGCATTGACATCGCACCACCGATTCGTGACGATGTTCTGTGATTCTCGCCATGGAATTGAGGGTGTTCCCGCTTGGCGATCGATGTGTTCCATGAACTCCAGGTGAGCAATCCTCCAAGACCCAACGGAGGGCACATCCGGTCGGACCGAATCTCTGTCACACCCAAATCACCTTGTAATGTAGTCTGATTCATAAACCACCCATCAAATGACACGTGTCATTTCCAAATGGGTGGAGGTTACCTACTCAATAGTCTGCATTGAAGGTCCAGGACCTTAGGATCGACCATGCCTTTTCTTTTACGACGCAGTCAGCGACGACGTGCTTCACCTGCATTGACATGCCGCCGCGGAAGACCACGCAGGAGATACCCGCGCGCTTCATGCGGAACTCCACAAGCCTCAGCGCGGATCTCCGGCGAAAAATCGGGCCATCTGGCTTCCCAGCACAGACTCCCGCAGGGTGGATCCCACAGGTCACTGACATGTTGAAATGCTTGACTTTGTGCAGTTATGTTAAATACGGTGTGCCACCCTTGGCGAAGTATATTGGAAAACAGGGGCGGGTGGTCTGCTTTGGGGACCCGTTCAAAACCAGTCAAACATAGTCAATCGTATATAGACATGTGTATACGTGTGTAGAA